GTTCCTTGTTTACAGTAGGATGATTCCAGAAAAAAAAAATGAGACAGAGCACCTCAGTGCACCTGGTTGGGCAGGTTGTCACAGAGCTGTATCATCTAGCAGGTCATCTAGCATCTAGACAACTAGCAGTTGTTAGTTTTCCAAGTTGTACACAGAAAATAAAATGTACAGAAAAGAAGTGAACTGCCATCAAGAGCCATGCAACCCTCAGTTGCCATAACTGAGTCTATAGTTATATTTCAGGAGCACAGCAAAGAAAAGCCTCCAAAGAAAAGTGGAAAATTGTATCAAGCCTATGAGACATGCACATACACTCAGGTTTGTTCCTCTCACTTTCTAAAATACACAAGTTAGATGGTACCTCCTGGCAAAATCAAGGGCAAGCTCACTGTCCTCTATGTCATTGTTCTCAAATGAGACAATACTTTGAGTCAGACTAAGAGACAGAAGCTGAAAGTGGCCTGCCTTCGGGAAATTTTCATGTTTCTCATGATTCAACTGGAGTGATTGTGTTCGCTGTATCTGAAATTTATCAAATTTTCCTGCACCACCATCTGATTAAAATTGTCAAGATTTGAACATTTAAATGAATTAGGAATTTGCTGGCTTTTGACAGTAAAAAGTAAAAAAACCCTCATCAAATTCTTTCAAAAAGTGACCTCCCCAAATTCTTCCGTGTATTTCTTCATTACATATTTATTGCTATTGTATTATTATCCATTACATGTCTAAAGGGAGGAGTATGTATCTTGGGGTATGACTACAGGCCCACACCCTTTACTTTTTTATATTATACAGAAAGCATTCTCCCTAACCTTTTCAGCTGTGAGTTCAGAGGGCTGGGCTCTGCAGCCCCTTTCGTTTTGCTATTTTTGTTACACAATAATCACAAAGGGCATTCCCCTCCTGAGAATGGGAGCCAATATAGGAGGAACATATGTGTAAACACATGCACACATAAAAAACCCACCACATTACATCCATAAACCTGTGCTTGTACATAACACACACAGTGTGTGCCGGTGTGTGTATACAACTCCACAGGCACCCTTTGGGGAGCACGAATGCCTTTCTGAAATGGAGGGCGAGTCTGGGGTCTCTAGGCCTTTCCACAGCACGCAGCTCTGTGCTCTCTGCCAGGAGGATGAGAGGTTTGTACCTCAGGAGGCACAGCCATTGTAACTGAGCTGCAGCCCACACTGTCTGCTCACAGAAGTTGGAGTTGCTCCACTGCAAGTCAATGGAGCTGCATCAATTTGCGCAAGCAGAAGAGCTGGCCCAATATGTACTGGTTGTTTTACATTCTGAGAAGACAATGTTCATAATTGAAAGTAATACCAAATGCTCTTTGCCAATACTATGAATTAGTCAGATTAAATATAGAGCCTTCAAATGACTATAAAATGTTCTAAACAGCTGTGCCTTGTAATTGGAACTGACTGGCAAACTGGGAAGTATTGAATGCAGTCTCAATTGGACTTGATATCTGAGTAAAATGAGTATAACACTAACCATATTCTAGAACCTGACTGGTTTTCTGCTAAATTTCTCTTCAGGACTTTTCTTCTTTACAGCTGCAGTAATCCTGTGTGAAACAAATCATGTTAGGTCTGTGTTTGAAGTATAAGGATTGCAGGTTCACAGCTCATACAGCATGAATAAGGTAGATGATGAGAACAGGTTTGGAGTGGAATCAGTGACTTTCTGCTATTTATGTACACTTCAGCTCCTAGAATAAAGCAATTTTTCCTTTTCAGCTCTAGTTTTAATTTGTAAAAGCTAGAAAGAATTCATAGTGGAAACTGACTTGTAAACTGTATTTGTGGCTATTTATCAAGGGCCTCTCTACCTAACTCAGAAAAAAATACATCCTATCTTCAGAGGCTTGGATACTTTGTTTATATGACAGGTATTTGAAAACTCATGTTTCACTGTCTGAAGTGGTGTGTTTGAGTATCTGAATTGTGAGAGTGTTATCCAAAAGAGAATAGAACAGAAAGTGCTCAGCATTTTCTGAAAACCAGATCCTCTAAAACATTTGAAAGTGGGAAGCAAATGACTTTGAGGATGTTCATTCCTATCATAAGAGTTTAGCTTAATTCAAGTTGTGTCCTAGTGTTGGCTCTTACATACCATATTCCATTTTTGAAGTATAGTTATATATACTTTCTATTCACATACTTTGTTAGCTTCACCTTGATACCTCAGGACAAGCCCTTTCATCTTGAACTACTGAAGATGTATTACAGCAGAGCCTATCCTGTAGCCTCTTAAGGCTCTTCTCCCTGATTGAAACGGAATGAGGCAAATACCTGTCCAGTGAATGTTTGGGGTAATGCTTGTAACGTGGATTGTGTTTGTAGACAAGGCAGAATGGAACACGTTCTCTTTCTAGAGAAGAAAAGGCTTGGGAGAATCTCATCACCGTACATAAGTATCTGAAGGGATGATATCTTCCAAAGAAGACTGAGCCAACCTCTCTTCAGTGGTGCCCAACAACAGAACGAGAAGCAACAGGCACAAACTGAAACATAGAATGTTCTGTCTGAGGAAAAGCAGGCATTTTTTTACTATGAGGGTGACCAAGCACTGGCAGTGGTGGCCCAGGGAGGTTGTAGATCTTCCAGATGGCTTTTAGATGTTCAAAAGCTGTCTGGACAAAGTCCTGGGCTGTAGGATGTAGGTAGCCTTGTGTGAACAGGGAATTGGGATAAGTAGGCCTCCAAAGTTCCCCTCCAACCCCAACCATTCTGTGATCCTCTTAGAGTACAAGGATAGGTTCGCAGTGCTCTGCACCATTTCAAGTGACTGACTGTGATATTTCCTGTTATAAGCACAGGCCAGCCAGCAATCTGACATTGATGTATTTTTAAGAGGGTTTTTTTGACACTCACAGCATCCCAGGACATTTTCTCCCAGGTCATCAAAACACATGGTTGCTCTATCATAAAGCTTTCAGGTTAGACATTATTTCAGCAATTCAGTGCAAATGTCACACTCTGCTGGAGACATATTCCCATTCTTTGGCAAGAACGCTGTGTAAGGCAGAGAAATTAACACCAAGAAAAACAATGAAGGAAAAATGTTGGCAGCAACTGCACTTAATTTAATTTTTTTTTATCCCCACAACTGCTGCCTACAAGCCAAAGTAGCTGGTGAACAGTTTGGAAGATGTGTACTATGGTTGCCTTAGGAAACAAACAGACCTCAGTGCAGATTAATAATGAAATAGCTAATGCACCCCTTGAGAAAGAGGTACCTTCTGTTATTTTATTTGACTGATTTTCCTGAAATGTTCCTTATTTCAAATACTTCCAAAAGCTTCAGACAACAAACCTTTTTTTATTACTTACAGTACTGACAAAGGGCCAATCTACCTGCCCAAATTTCCAGAACTCAGAGGACTTTCAATAGAATAAATAAATTAAAAGTGCAGAAATTGAAAGTGACCTCAATGTATTGGTATTTATGTGAGACTGATACCATGCTTTTTTGGAAATTACTTAGGCTCTCATTTACATATTCAGGTATCTTAAACCTATAAGCATCTCAGATAAGAGCTTAATTTTTCTCTCTTTCACCACAACATTACAATTATTTCCATGGTGTTGTATCAATATAACAAATTGAGAGTTAAATCTCATTATTTCAACTGAATTGTATTCCTTATTTGTAAGATAACCACATTTCTGAGACTACTGTTGTGTGCACATAGGACCATATAATCAACATCTAATTAAGCCCACTTCATGTTATATTTGCTTAATTTTAAGTTTCTTACAGCTATAATTTTTTCTTTTAGCCATTATAGCAGTTGAATTTTAATTACATTACCAACAAAAAGCTCATTAACATCACGTAATTGGCAGCGTTTCCAAAAAAACCTGAACTAATTGAGTATTTTCTGAAGAGTTCCCATCAAAGTATAATTTAACCATTACAAACAGCTTGGCAACTACATTTGCATAAAGATGTATCTAAGGAATGTTCTCATGTGTGGAAAATCAGATTTGATATTGCCATTAACAAACGAAGGAAGCTGTTACATAGCAAATCACTTCCACATTTTAATTATTTTGGCCAAACCCCATGTTTTTGTCAAGAAAGTCAAATGAAACCACTTGCTTTTCCACAAAGAAGCAGCAACTGGTCTCTGACTGAGAGTTATGAAGCAGCTTGCTTTGTGGGAAGGCAACACAATCTATTTTAGGTTATTTTGCACTCTCAACAGCTAATAGCAGAGATTGTGTCAGAAAGACCATGGTTCTTATGCAGTAGACTAATTCAGAATTTTTTAAGCACATGACCAAGGAATTGTTGAATGTACAGTGGATCTCTTGCCAATTATCTTGTTAATATTCTTATATTATGACTGGACTGATTTAATTACTAATGAAAAGAATACAAGTATTCCAATCATTATTAGCTTCCACCATTTTTTAAAGACTCCCTAAAATAGCTGCACTAGAAATAAAGCAAAGAAAACTTGTACAATCCTTTGATCCTTCCCCTCCAGTATGGAATGAATGACACTGAGATCAATTTGAATGTTGAGGTGATGATTAGAAATTAAAAACAGGTCAATATGGCTCACAAACTTTGAATACAGGTGAAAAATCCACTTATATATGACAGTTATCATGAGTGTCCTGCTTTCATGTTGAAACCTGAACACTGAGTTTTGCATAATCAAGGTTTCAAATAAGAGTTGAAGAAAATTTGAACATATTCAATACTCTCAATAAGTATCCAAACTTCAGTATTAGATACTGTTCCTATCTCTTCTTGGATTCTTTACAAAAGGTTGGAAATAAATTTTGAGAAGCTGGTTCTTGTTAGGATGCTAATTGTGTGCTTGCACTGCTTCCTTTGTCCTTCCCCATTTTACAGTTCTAGCTAACAAATGCAATCATATTTATCTGACAGTGTGCATTTGCAATGAACCACCCTTCTTGGACTGCAGATTGTAAGTTTAAGCAAGTCAGCACAAAATGCACAAGACCCTTTACATTCAGATTTTATTTTTTCTGTCAAACAGGTATCAAATGTGACAAAACATTTGTTACCATAAGATTTGCTAATACACAATATCAAAAGTGGATGTAAACATCAAGTTTAAAATTTCAAACTTCCTGTGATTAATTCACCTGAACACTATACAACTTGGGCACTGCTGTCTTTTCATTCTCCCAAAGATGTCTCAGATGCCTTAGCATGCTCTGCGTAGCCTGCTTATTCTGACAGAGAAAAGCATTGTTTGAGGAAGTGGGTCATATGTGTGTACAGATGTTTGCTGGAAAGGCCTGGAATTCCATGGTTCTGATCAGTATACCACTGAAAGAAAAAGCAAAAACAAAACATAAACCCCTTATGTCATGTTTTCAATTCTGCAAGAGTTAAACAATACAAAAAATGTATTTTATTGCTACACACAAGAAAGTGGATGGCTCAAGAAAAACGAGGAACCTGATTTTTTTTCCATCAGTTCCTAATATATTCTTATTCTTGTTGAAAAAAAGTATCTAAGCCTTCTGTTATTTAAGAGCAAGCATTACTCCCTCAGTACTTACAGGCCAGTTTATCAAGTCAGGCAAAAGAGCCTTAAAATGCCATTAGGGATGAAATCCCCTTGACCTACTGTGTGGCCTGGGTAACAGGGGTAAGAGTCTTGCTTAGGAGTAAGTACTGAGCTCTAAAAAACAATATTTCAGCTAAATGTTTGAGTTCTATTCAAAACATCCCAGCATTATAGCAGGGCCATGAACCTTGTGAGTGATGATCTGGAAATAAAACACACATAAGAATTATGCTAACTCAAAACTATCTGCCATTCCACTGCAGCTGAACCAGAATGACTACAACTGCATACAGTTTTCCAGATACTTAAGATATAACCCGCATTTGCTAAAGATTAGCAAAAGAGGCAGAAATGTGCAATACACAAAAGGGCCTATAAACTCCTGTTATCCCTTTTTGGGGACTTTATGGCCCTGTGAAACCAGACTCGGGCAGAAGACCAGTATGTTCGATAGGAGGCAAACACTTTGCTTATTAGCCCTGAGAAAAGAAGGTTTGGAAGCAGAGGTTAGCATATAAATCAGATCTACATTTCCCCTGTTTATTTCTCCTTAATATCCTGCAACCTCTTGTCTATGTGTTTCTCTCTGTCTATACCTGCTATCCCATGCAAGTTTTTCAGAGAACTTTTTTTTGCTGATTCTGGATATATATTTGGATATCTTACACCCTTTTCACTTGTTTCACTTCTTGCCTGTGGCAGGCAAGTCCAATTTAAGATAGACTTTACCAACTAGTGAAAATTTGGCCCCAGAACTCAGCTCTTTCACTTTCCTCTTTTACCCAGTATCAAAAACACTTATAAAGAGGCTGGATTCTTATTTTTCTCCCTGGCTCATTTTAAAAGCCTCCAAGTTATTCTTGACAAGAGGAAAATCCTGCTAGCATGTAAAGGGCAAGGAAAAAAAAAAAGAGCAGACAAATCATTTGGGGAAGAAATTGAGAAGTTGTTTATGAAGAATAACAAATGAGCTAGCAATTGCCAAATTTTGAAGCATGTTCAGCTGAACAGGGTAGTTAAAAACACTGCCAAATGTCAGAAATGCTTATTGATAAAGTTATGAACCACTTTTCAAAATGAAAAATAGTCTATTATTTACCATTGCCTGGAAATCCACCTGTGCATTAACCAGAGCTTTTGCAATTTGTGCTGAGTTCTGAAAATGTACATTATCTAAAAAGAAAAAAAAAAAGAGATTGTCTGTTGAAACGTGTTAATACCACAAAGCATAAAGTTATAGTGCATTTAGCTGTGTCCACTAATTATCAAGTGATACAGTTGACATTACTAAGAACGAGTAAGCATCTTATGATAGGTCATATGGAAATCTACCAAAGATCTAAGTCCTGACCCAATCAAAGATAGATGCTTAATGTTTTTCAAACAAAGTGATTCTGGCTCTGTGTTTGTTCTGCCATTTGCAAACCTCACCATCTGCTGTTCCATGGATGAGAAGATACTCTACATTTTGGAAATTCTTTGCTCTTGCCATCACAGTTGAATTCTGTTGAGAGGAAAAAAGAACAGTTCAGCAACTATAATTTAAACCACTTATTTATAGTGCTGAAAGGCTTTCATTACCTAGTAGAAAAACAAATCAAACAGTTGAACTGACATGACAGCAGTGACTTCATATCAATCTGACAGTACAATAGAAACCAGGTATAAGGCTATATATGTGTATATATATATCAGTCTCTACAGAGGGATCTGAACAAGCTGGATCAATGACCCAAAGCCAGTTGTCTGAGGTTCAACAAGGCAAAGTGCCATGTCCTGCTCTTGGGTCACAACCACCCCTATGCAGCACTAGGGGCCATGTGGAAGGGTGGCTGGAAAGCTCTCTGGTAGAAAAGGATCTCTGGGTATTGGTGAGAACAGCTGAACATGAGCCAGTGCATCCCGAGGTGGCCAAGAATCCTGGCCTGTACCGAAAATAGTGTGGCTAGCAGGACCAGAGAAGTGATCATCCCCCTTACTGGGCAGTGGTGAGGCCACACCTCAAATCCTGTGTTCAGTTTTGGGCCCCCCAAGAAAGACACTGAGGTGCTGGAGTGTATCCTGAGAAGGGCAGTGGAGCTGGGGAGGGTCTGAAGAGTGAGACCTCTGAGGAGTGGCTGAGGGTGTTCAGCCTGGAGAAGAGGAGGCTCAGAAGGGACCTCAACATTCTCTCTGACTCCCTGAAATTATGTTTTAGCCAGGGGGGGTTGGCCTCTTTTCCCAGGCAAGAGTCAACTGGACAAGAGGAAATGGCCTCAAATTATGCCAGAGGAGGTTTAGACTGGATATGAGGAAAAATGTCTTCATGGGAAGGATTGTCAGGCATTGGAACAAGCTGCTCAGGGCAGTGGTTGAGTCACCATCTGGAAAGGTATTTAAAAGATGTATAGATGTGGCATTTGGGGACAATGGTTTAGTGGTACACTTGGAAGTGTAAGGTTAATGGCTGGACCTGATGATCTAAGAAGTCTTCTCCAAACTGAATGATTCTGTGCATCTGTGATCTGAGACTTTGGCTTCAGGACAGGAATACCTATAAATAAATACTGTTTTTTTCTTACATCATTTGCATGTGTTCTGAAAAGCATCAGCAGAAGAAAAAAATATTAATCTGCACCATATTGATGATATCTGTCCTTAAAAGGTCCCTGTGCATGCTTGGCTTGCAGCAGGTAGCTTTCTGTGCTGTCACAAATGTCTCTACACTATCAGAAACAGATTTGATATTTAGTGTCTTTTCTAAGGCCAATTCATACGAAGAACAGCACTAGTCATGTCATTCCCAGAATGCTCTAATTCCTGGCAACCCAGACAGCTCCACCAAGGCTGTTTGGTATTGAACATTTCTGTTCCTTGAGTTCGGATGGAAATACATACTGAGAACACGATTCAAATTTTAACAGGAGTGTTTCCACTAAGTTCTTTGGATGTTAATTCAGGCCTCTCTGTATCCAGAGCTGGTGTGTGTGCTGCTAGAGGAAACTACAGACTTCCTATCAAAGTGAAGAAAAGAATGGCAACCTGTTCTAGGTAGGGGAAGCTGCTCTGATCATTTAGTATTCTTATGATCTTATTATCAGAGAGCTAAATTTGTATGAAGCAGTTTTTATATCTCAGCTCGCAGTACCAACCAAAACCTTATTAACATTAACATTTTAATTCCTGTCACTTCAGTTCTTTTCTAAGCTGGTGGTTTGCACTGGCAGAACAGTCTGACTTGTCCAAATAAGAAAATAAGGACTTCCATTTAGCATTTTTGGGACTTATAAATACAAACCCACAATTAATTATGGAGATAAGAATTTCATGGCAGTAGCTTTGCTATAAAATGACTGTAGCATGAGAGTGGGTGGGCCACTTTCTTCCTTCACAGTTCTACTTATCCATATAAGTGTTATTCAAATTTAAGGCAGAATGGTACAGAAACAGAATTCTCACCTTATAGTGCTCAAGATTATCAGACTGTATAGGAAGACCCATAAATCGTTCTGTGTAGATCGATGCTGAAATTAAATAAGAAAAAAGCTATAGATAAAAAAAGTGCAGCTGTTTTGCGGCTTCAGTGACACATAGGAAATTAAATTATGTTTAACTCTGCCTGTTCTTGGTTTCCTCATAACACACTAAATTTACACATATTTTACAAATCAGCTACGAAGGCTAGTTATTTACTGTTCTCCAAACCATCTTTGCAGAAATAGTGGTTTTATACTCATCTAGCTTTTGGGGATAAAGTTAATTAATTGATACAGCTTTATGCTGTTGGGTTGAACTCCAGAAGCCAGTTGAATAAGACAATGAGCCAGTAAAGGTGCAGACTAATTCTGACACCTTAAAAAGAGGAGCTGAGGATTTGCATGTGTATTAACAGTAAATATGAATATGCATGTTGTCATTTTCCTATTGAATGTATATATGCAGCAACTAGGGGGAACAGGACAGGATGAAGGCATGAACTGAAAAGTGGCCCACTGTTTTCCAGGTCTCTGTTCAATTCCTTTTTCTAACTATAACAAAGACTGTTAACAGATTTGACAAAATAAATGTGAATTACTGAACAGTATCCATCACCAAGAAATCAGTAGAAACATCTCTCTTTGACCTGCCTTGGTATTTGTACTTTAACTAGGAGCTGGTATGAAAATTTATGGAAAACTGACACAGCAGCTGCTACTACCAGAAGATTGCTTTCTTTATGACCTTGCCTTGAAAGAGGAACTGACACGTATTGAGCAGTCAAGCTGTAGTATTACAAGGACTTTATTTATTTAAGGAAGTCAGGGCTTTCTGACAAAGAAGAGTTGTCATCTTTCCGTCTAAAAAGACAGGTGATGGCCATTGTAATCATTAAGGATTTGGGATTGTCTATCTTGTCCAGTTTGATACTATGTATTAAAAAAAAAAAAAGAAATGAGACTCCTCCCAGGAAAAGAAAACATATCAATTTATTCTTGTTCCCATAGTTTATTATATATCATTTACATGTGCTACCACTGAGAGCTAAAGATGTATACTATGTCTCCCAGATCAGGCAAGCAAGGCTTCTGAAGATAATTTGTAATATAAGTACCGAAAAAAATTTAAGTAGCCTATCTTTTATCAAAATCCTTTATCATTCCATGAAAACAGAAAATGTGCAATATCTGTTGTCAACACAGTGTCAAACAACCATATTGGGCTTAAGTTTTCAATAAAATAGACTCTTTCTGAATCGCTGGCATTTCTACAGTATTTTGAGCCAATTTTTCCACCCTCTTCTACCAATATAGCTACAACAAGTCCACAGAGGTCAGCAGAATTGCATTATAATGACTAAGTGGAAGATTCAGCTTGTCAATTATTGAGAAAGGAAAAGCAGATGAATTTAAATAAATTTTAACAAAACAGTCACAGATAATAATGCTTTGAACTTTACATTGTCCCTGAATGGAATCTTCCTTTCCATTTTATAAGTGTTCAGCTCTGACTCAAAATGGAGGGGGGTGGGACAACTTCTGACAAAAGATTATGGTCCAGAATCTCATCTGTGCACCTAAAAGAGGGTTGGACAGAATTTAGAAGCTCTAGGGGCCAGTACATCCTGTGACATACTGATACTACTCAGAGACTCAAGGATGTAACATCCTGCAGTTTTGCCCCTAACACAGTTCACCCTAATGTTAACAAGATCTGTTTGCCAAAACTTATGACTCATGACTTCCTTTTGTTTCCTTCCTTCCTTAGTGGAGGTACATTTGCCTGTTTGGATTTTATAGTGTGTTTTCAGCAAGATTCTTTAATTGGCACCTGAAAATACGGGGGCGTAGAGATTACAGTGGTCCAGGTGTAATCTGCTTGAACTTAAAAGCTTCATTTGAATTGTGATGCTGGGTCAAATTTTTATAACACATCTTTTATTAAGGGACCTTTGCAAAACCAGCGCTTTATGCCTGCATTCTGAAAATAATTTTGTGATTATGAGTAAAAATGTCTTAAAAAAATCTTGACGCCAGTGAAAACATGAAGACTATGCTTCCTGTGTCATACAAATATTTTCCCCTTTGTTTGCAAAACACCACAAATACAAGGAATGTCTGTGCAAGCAGTCAGGGAAGGAATCTTTCCCATTTAACCAAAAATTTTTCTCATAACCAAGACTTCTTAGAAAACGACCATATGCTAAGTAAATGTGTTCAAAGTGCTACATTTTACTCATTGAAAATATTCATGCCATGATTTTTTTTTTACACTAAGGTTCCTTAACACCATGCCAAAAGCTTAACAGGTCGGCAAGTATGAGTATGTGCCTGCTTTATTCACACAGGAAGGCCTTGGGAATATACACCCAGTGTTGTTTCCTCTCAACGGTTTGGAGCCTAACTCCATAAATATAAATAAGAATATGTATTGTACTTATTGTACAACAATACAGGTGTGGCTGAGAAACATTTAGAGGGAGAAGTATTTAATTAAAAAATATTATATTGAACAAAAGATAATACTTTCTTGCACTTTTTCCACTGCTTTTTGGAAACAACTTTGCAGTCATCAGAAATACTGATTCCTGACACAGGTCATCTGTGGTTTCAGAAGTTGAAATGTACTATGATTCTGTTGCTGGCAGATAAATCAATCCAGCTGTTTCTGAATTCAGTGATAATGCTTTAATAGGACTTTAAGGCAGATCACTCCTTAATAGCAGTTTATTGAGAGGGCTTTATACACTTACTGTTATAGAAGTGCATATGGAATTATCCAGACATACCTTCTTTGTGACAAAATCAGTTCCAAACTGCCAGTTGCACTCAGTTATTTTCAGCAAGAAAAACATTAAACTTAAGGTCTTAAAAGTTTTAAATCTAGGTAATTTGAATGTCTTTATGTTTCAAATTGCCAGTCTCCTGCAATGATTTAATTTAAGAAGTCATTAAATGCTACATCTTGCTTTCCAAGTCAGTATTTATGACAAGTTTCCATACCATAATATTCCCAGCTGGAAACAGGAGCCACAGCCATTCCACATTTAAATACTCCACTACCAGATCCAAGTGCCAAAGAAGTTACATAGCCACCATAGGACTAGGAGGAAATCAAAGACAAAGTTTAAAATTAGTACTATCATTCTGTTTTCTGAATCAAACTCATATAAACTAATTCCAAATTAACTAATTTGCTTTGCATGCATGAAGGACAAAGTAACAAAAGGTTGAGAGTTTTTTGAAATTAATTTATTGACATCAAATGGATCTGATGTAATTTCTTGTGAGAGAGATTAGACAAATTTATCAAATAATTTCTTTTTTTGCTGCTTCTTCAATGTTTATCACTGTTTTCATTAGCACTTACAGTCACAGAGAAACTGAATTTCGTAGCATCCTTCATGCTAATTTAACGCACCCTATAGGTCAAAACAGGGCTAACTTCAGATGGAAATGATACTGACTGCAGTCTCGTCCATAGCACACATCCTCTCCACTCCATCTACTTCAACAGTGATCAATGCTGTCATATTTTTTTTTTCCTAAAACCAAAGAGAAACCTTCCTTCTGGCAGCTTGTTTTCATTGCACCTCATCCTTTCAAGGTGCACCTCCAAGAAGAGTAGAGGTTTTTTTCCCTCCCTTAACAAACTACCTAGGTTTTGCTAAAGATCAGCATATTGAACTGACTCAGTCATCAGTACTAATATACTCATTTTTTCAGGATGGAGCAATTCCTCCCTACTGCCTGCCACTGTTCCCAGTATTTTCTGGCCTGATTCCTCAAACTGGGACGCAGAAAGGAAGAAAAAGTTCACAGCCCTAAGAAGGGTAAAGCAGTAAGTAAGCCTGGATATAAGAATAGATCTGTGAAACTGAATGGGGCTAGCTGCTGAGAAAGGAAAATAATGTAAATAAAAAGCCTTTGGTTTGGCTCTCCACAGGATGTGGAACTGAGGTCGGAAAAACTCATATAAGGTCTTTGCAAAATAATGGGTTTCTGTTTACTTTGGAATGGAGGAAGGGATAAAAATATGGTGTGTCATGAAAAATTCTGAGGATTACTTCAGCAGCATATGAAAGACTTAGGGAAATAAGCAGAATTATTAATTTTTTTTTTTTGTACGGAAGTTAATTTAGTCCATCCTCTTAACTTTCCAGCTTGAAATGACAGTGAGATATAGTAGTAGAAATCCTAATTAGTAGAATTTCTCCAACTCATCTGATTTGCTCATTTGATCTTTCAAAAAATCAGTCCACAAGGCTAAAAATAAGGGATTAGGATTGGGCAGATAAATATATTCACAGTAACAGGCCGAGAGAGAGTTCACAATCCAAGTTACTTTGGTAGTTATTCAAGAGCTTTTGCCATATTAAAGAGTGTGTTGAGTCTGAAAGCACAAGCTCATGCACAGTCACCAATCTGCAGCCTATAAATAAGGAAACACCTTTAACTAATTTCAAAGCTTACAGACCAGGAAATGGTATAATAAATTGGAAATAAATTGGAAAAAAAGGTTGAAAGGTTTGGCAGTAGTGCCTTTATTTTAATATTATATCCACTACTGGAATACAATGTGTCCAAGCTCTTAGTTGGTTCTGGAAACACTGTGGTGAAATAAAATATGATGAGATTTAAAAAAGAAAATATTTTCTTGAGACCTTAAATTACCTAATGTCACTTTAGAATTATTCACTTCTAAGTATCTGTGTCATTTAATTTCACCATATGATACCCATTTTAGTCTAGTGTTACAGTAGTAACTGTACCAAAGTAACTTAAATATTGGTTGGTAGAAACTTCATAGAAAGATTTTAGCAACTCTGCTCATGTGCTGTCTAAGATGAGGCAATATATCTGGCTATTAAAGGTTCTGGGAGCATTACAAAGAGAAATACATGAAAAAAGCAAAGATGAAAAATAAACGGGCTAATAATTTGGAATGACTCCCATACTGCCCAATTTTTCCATGTCTTGGTGAAGCCTGTCAATGTTGTAAACCCCTCAGATCCAGATTCATCCCTGATGACCATTGCAAAGCCAGCCAAGTACACAGTGATTCAGAATGATGCAGGTGTCACATTTTCTGATGAGAGATAGTCATAGGACTTTTCTCACTATTTTAAACTCAGATCAGAAAGGACAATACTTGCATTTTGACAGTAAGTCCCTAAATTAAAAGTAAAGCCAAATAAAATGTTTTAATTTGGCTTAACTTCCAGTACAAACAATGCATTAGACATAAGCTTTTAAAAATTTTTATATTCCCTCCTGAGCTGCCAAAGATTCCTTTTTGGGGTCTTGAACTGTTGCAATTGCATGTATATGAGTACCAGCAGGAACCATCCCCTTTGGCAATACCATCATACATTTGCAGAAGAAATTTTATATATACATAAGACAGAACCAGGAAGAATAAAAAAAAATCATACTGCAGGATTATTTAAAGATAGATATAAAAACTCCAATCACTTACCCAGCCCCATATTGCTATTCGTTTCTCATCAATAAAGCCCATTTCTATAAATTTTCTGTGGAAAATAAAATCACAGAAATAAATGCATTATTACAAAAAATTGCTTGTACAATAACGAATTAGGAAAAAATAGTTCTTCTTGCACTTCTTTTTCCACATATCCCACCAATTTGAGCAAACTGACAATCAACATAGCATGCCTGATTTCTACAAAGCATCAACTATTCAATCAATAGGTGTTGCAAGGGAAGAGGAAGAATTTTTCCTGAGAGAAAAAAAAATACTGAAATCAATACTTTCATCATAATAATTTTTATTCCACGGGATGAGAATAATTTTCATTGCTTTAGTGCCAAAGGTGCAGGATTACCATTAACATTCAGATTTTATTGTGCAAGATGCCCAATATACTGATGTCACAGTGATCATTTGATTTCTCAACAGGAACAGTATCGACTTCTGAGAAGATTAGGGATTCCCTGGAGAAATAAGCTTTTTTTTTTATGTGCCTGAAAAGTAAAAAGCTCTTATGGCTACTTTAATAAAAAAATAATAATGAAGGAATCATCTATTAATGCTCCAAGCAGGTAATAATCTTGAAATGTATAAAAGGTGCAAAACTTATGCTCTCAAGAGTCAAACAGGTCAAATATTAGGCCTCCTACAAATATCCTGTATCAGAGAGTGGAGACTGTATTTCTAAAGATGTATTAGCAACAGCAAAGAAAAGGTGATGAGGCAAAAGACCACAAAGGGTTGAGAGTGACAGATAAACACAATAGGTTCAGATACACATCAGGACACATAGTAACCTTATTTACTACGACAAGGGCAAGTGATGGACAACACCCAAACAATGGGATACTATCTGGGTGGGACAGAGTTAGAAAAGCCAAAAAATTATTATTGAATAATTCAATAATTATTCAATTATTAATTGTTATATTACTGTCTTAATCCCTGGGGCTCCACCTACAGCAAAAGCCCCTCCACAAACTTCCCACTAGAGTATAGAGACTCTCTAAAAATCATGCATCTTAATCCATGTGTTAGATCAGGAAGATGGAATGCACTACATTTAACTGAATAAAAATTTAGTCTAGGTGCTGACAGAAAACTGGGAAGTGTGAAGTCTGAGGTCATTTTTTCATGGCCTGTCTCAGCAGATTTTGCAACTGCAGAATCAGTTTAGTTTCCCTCTGATATTCTGTGTCTGAGTGATGATTCAGAATAATATAGAAGCATTCTTCTGATATTTTGAAGTATGCCACTCCTCCTAAAAGTTTCAAGATATAAAATAAAATAATAGAATAATAGAAAAACTTGACATGATATACAGCTATTCTGTTTCATTTATCACTGAAAAGTATAATGAAGCATTTATATTTATAACATTGAGGAGGAAATGAATTATCACAAAGCAGAAAGAGGAAGGAACAGATATCCTTCTAACACGCACTTTTAAGTATGGGCAGTACTCTCAAACAAGCAGAGAAAGCAGTGAAAACCTGGGTTGCTACATGCAATTTTCAGCTAAGATACTCCAGCATTTTAGTGGAGTCTGGAGGAAATAGGGCATTTACTGTTGCACCTGGAAATCTATCCATCTATCTATCTCTGATCTCTCTGAAATCTATCCAAACTATCTCTGATGGGCCAAATTCCACATCAAAGGCTAGGCCAAATTCCTGCCTTGCAGTCATCTCTGTGGGGTTCAAACTAACACTGCTTCAAATGCTCACTTTAGCAGTGCTACTGCATCTGTAAAATTAACAAGACAACCTTTCTTTGCAATCCTCATCTTTCACTTTCTCCCAAAATCTCTGCATAGGGAATCAGTTTCCCCTGAAACACTTTAAGGTGTTTTCATGCAAAAGAGCAGCTGTTGGGGAACACTTATCAAGGGACCTCAGGTCCCTTCTGTTCTTAACTATCCTATAACAGCACAGAATGCAAGTTTGTGACTAACTGACTTGTAGAACATTTGTGTTGGTTTGTTCCACTACAAACTTCTCATTTAACCTTTAGCTAATCAGTGAGGTAAATCTCTATGGATCTCTGGCTAATCTATATAGTCACTAAAGCAGGCTTGCCCTATAGGAACTTCAGAAAAATGGATAATTGGCTTAACTTTCACCACTGATAATTGTATTTCTTTAGGTTTAGGATTGAAACCTCTGATGATTCTCTCATGCAATGCTGGTGGTGAAGTCCAAATGTGGACTTAGTGGTATATGGACTTAATATACCAGACAAAACCTCATTGACATCAGTCAAACATGAATATTTTATTTTTACACTGGAGACTTCAGTATATGCTGGAGACCTCAAGTCTTCAGAAGAAACTGAGAATTCAGTATTTCTTTCACCTTACTACTCGGTGTGCAAATACCACAGCTATACAGGGAGAGAATCTACTTACTTAACTGCTGAGATTTGGTCCTCAACTTCATAGACTCCAAGTCTTCGATACACGGCATGTAAAATCTTGTCACCTTGATAAGCTGTCCCTCTGCCATCCACCAGAGCAACAATTATTCCCTCTTTGCTTGCAAGATAGGTTATCCAGCTAATGCTAAAGGTTTCCTTTACATTCTGACTGCAAGGTCCTCCATACCTGAGGATGAAAATTCACACATTTTCAATTCATACTTACAAATTTATAAATTTATTGGACACTGGACTATAGCTATCGGCACCGATAACATTTCCTCCACATATATTTTGCTACACGACTGTGGTTCAGAGAGCTCAGTAGACAGACAGTTCTACTACTATTTTCAAGTAGTTATGAGATTTCGCTATCTAAAATCCATTTTACTCATTTAGGTCTTATCCCTACGGGAAATAATTAGTTTCAGCTCAGACTAAGTGGTGCAGTATCAGCTGCTTGTCCCAAGGGGAACCCTTGGAAAAGCCATCCCTCAAAGATTCAATTCTTTGCTCTCTCCAAATGCCTTAGGAGTAACACATCCCCTTTTGGTGCTTTTCTGCTTTTTTGGTATTTGACTTCCACATGCAGTCAGTAATGCCAAAAAAGAGCAAGATTAAGAAGTACTGCTCCTTATGCTTTTTGGCTATCCCCAGACCTTATTTGTTTCAGCAGGGATTATCATGTGCTGTTGGAACTGTGGGCAGAACACACCCCACATAGCTGAGCAAACAGAGACACTCCTCATGAGAATGGCCTAATGCAAATTACACATTTGACCTCAAGGACAGGACTCTTCTACTCTAAACTTCAAACTACCATACATTCTTGGCCCTTTGGATAATCGCTGGTTAATAAAAAATGATGTAATTGTTTATTACACCACTCAGCTGTCCTTTCTGCATTTTTTTTTTCATTTTTTTTCACCACTGCAATTTTTATTGCTTTTCTGCCTACAATAAATTATGTAAAGTACTCAACAAGCAAGTCCACATGGCTTAGTTTTCTTTTCATCTTAAAAAATGAAGCAGGCTCTTGTATTTTTTCATATTAGCAAAGCTGAAATCAAAACTTTCAGACTGCCTCATGATAAACAGAAGAAGCAACAGAGCTAAGACCTACAAGGAGTAACCGACATGGTTTTAGCCTTTCTCTTTCTCTTTCTCTGAGAAAGTAATCCTTACCATGCTAAGATTAACATTAAAATCCTTATTGATCTCCATTGGGATGAATTTATATTCCAGAAATATATTGAAAAAAACCACAACAAATGAAACAGAACTAAGAAGATTTGCTTTTGCTTTATAAAATGTTAAATTAGAAGAAGTATGTTTTGTTAAATTAGAAAAAGTATGTTTTCTAACAAAACAACAAGATTCAAAGAAAGGAAGAGTTACATACACCTGAATAAGCAGAGGGTACTTCTTGGATCTATCAAACTGTGGAGGTAGAAGCATTTTGTACCACAAAGCTAGAAAAGACAAATTAAAATTAGATTCTTAATGGTTGAAATGATTCCTCTAGGCATAATCCAGAGTCTGGTGTAACAGTATATGAACATGAATCAGCACATAGTACACAACGCACGAACTGTGAATCACAGAACTGATGCAATTAACTGTTTATATTGAGCTGTTGAAGAACAGCTTTGAAGAAACCCACATTTACTTTAATTTAGCTATGCTAAATTATTACTTCACAGAAATCTAGGTTCTCAGTTTTTCCAGGTGCCTAGAAAAGCCTAACTGTTTTAAAATAATCAGATATTAATTTTGGATATTTTACACTGTTTTATTACCACGGGATACTGTTGGTAAATCACTGCTGAAAAGAGCAGTGCAAGCAAGTCAATATAATGCATAACTCATGAAAAGCAGTTTACATTTCCCATTTGATTACCACCATATTATATTGTTTTTACACAATATTGAAACTCCTTACCAATAGTATGAAGATTTTTTAAAAATGTGCATTGTGAAACAAAAGTATTTTAACAACAATTTTACTGAGAGATACCCTGAGGCATAGACAAATCAGCTGTTATTGAACAGGGCAGAACCAGGCCTCTTCTTCCCAATCTGACAGGCCAACAACTTTGTTCTACAGAAAGACAATATTTACTATAACAAAATTAAGGCAGAAGATTAAAATGGTAAGAATAAAAAGTACAATAAAGATGTGTAATTCTTACTTAAACCATCCACTTCAAGCTTATTAATTTCTTCTTTTGGCAGTCTGATATCTTGCAAAGCAGACTGCAATTCCCAATTGTCTTCCAATACTCTGAGCTCTAAGTAAAAGAAATGCCTGAATTATTAACTGATTTATTGTCAATTTCTCTTCAGTAATTAAGATTCCTTTACTTTGTGTTATTAGAACAGAAAGGAAATCTGTGAATTTTACAAGCAGAGTAATGAAATCCACTCAGACACTTCTAATTGGGCTGGATCATGTAGCTAAATGAAAGAAAAGCACTGGCATTGCAGTGCACAAATATTCGTTAGATTTTTATAGAATGTACATTTTGCAATGCAAATCATTTCACATGTTGCCTCTGAGTGTTAGAGTCCCGCATGTTAAGAGGAAACAGCTTTCTCCTGCAGATCCCTCATCCCAGTTTTGTAAAATGGGGGAGCTAGAAATGCAAAATTCATGGCACTGTGCAAAACACAGTCCTGTATCTCCTGTATCTCCTCTCCTGCTTATCAGACTAACATCACTTTAACCTCCAAGACCCTTGGGCAGTGTGGTCAAGCACATGGTCCTCAGGGAATATCTTCTTTCTAGGTAATGCAGGAAATTCAATTTCTTAAGGGGTTAAGGCAAATCTTCACTTAACTACTGCACAATACATTCCTACACAAAGACACCAGACTTACCATCTCACTGTCCTTATTACTGGTCACTTAGTAAATGTTTTTTTTTTTCCTTTTTTTTTTTTTCTTTTTAAAATATATAATTTATTGTTTTACTTGCTTTAGACCAATATCAGTTACATAATTTAAAAATTACTGTTTAAAATTTAATTAACTTACAGGACAGATTGCAGAACTGTATATTATTAATCCATTGGTTCTTGTTTCTTTATGTGTTTTCCCATGAGTAGTGAGGGATGAAGAATATTGGAAACATAATTGAAATCTGTGTCTTTTAGCTTCACTTTCAGAATGAAAGAACCTTTTAAAACTGCAGGAGAGTTTTCTTTTTTCCTTTACCTTTCCCTTCTCCTTGTTTCTGGAAATGTTCAAGAAAGCACAAGAAGTATTCTTCTCTCAACATATACTGAGCTAGGTAGTGCTTAGGACATGCCAGAAATGTAATACTGGAATTCGTTCTTTCAAAGTACTCTTGACAAGTTTTGCAGATTCAAGTGGCTGAAAGATCATCCTGCTTTTGGATGCTCTTGCAAACTCAGCTGAACCCTTTTCCAGCCTTCTCCTCAAAACTCCTGAAACTTTCCCATTACCACAACTGAATTGTAGGCTTCGTGGAAGGAACTTCCAAACTGATCTATGTCAGTTTAACTGTCTCCTACTAAAATTCATGGATGATATAGTTTCAAAATGCTGCCAACTGCAATGAAAATGGATTTACTAAAAATAGTTTTGCACCACGGAAGAGATTACGAAAGCAAGGAACTGAAGGAAAATTAATTCTAAAAAGGTAATGAAGAATTTAAAGAGAAGCCTGAATTTGTTTTTATTCCTGAGAATAACATCACAGAAGAGGGAGGCATGATGAAACCAGTGGTGAAAATCCATTACAGGAAACTGTTCTCTGCTGCAGAGAGGTTAATAAACACATAACTGCAGCTGGGCACTTATTTGCATTTCAAGCAATGCATAGTTTGATAAGATAGTAGGGGTCCTTTACATAAAAGGTAACTGAATCAGAAAAAACAAGAGAGGTATAAAAATGGATTAAATTAAAAAAAATCCATACATGCATTGTATTTAAACCTTCTGCAAAAGAAACACAGAACACGGTGTTTCTATACCATAAGTGCAATAGACATGTTAACCTATCTTTTTTCCATTTGCAAAAATTTTTAAGTGGTTATAAAATAAGATGTACCAACTGCTACTGGAGTCTAAATAATACAATGTTGCAATTCACTGAATTCTACATGAATCACCACAGATTAAGTTAGTTTAACAATACTGCAGCATTTGTCTTATGTTTTTGTGTGTCTTCTGGTCAGACAACACTCAGTTAACAGTGGGTTATCAACACAGGCTGAACTGTAAGGACCATTACAACTACCAGCTCATTTCCACTGATTATTGGGGAAGGAAGGGAATGCTAAATCTCTGAAGTTGATACAGAACCATGGTAGTTTTCATAACATTCCAGGAACTGAAGGCTTAAAGTTGGAGAAGAAGTTTTAGGGAAAAAAACAAGGGACAGAGGGAGACGATTCCCTGCAGAACAATTAATATTTTCATACTTAGAAAGTTCTTGCTTGGCTTGGTTGCAAACAGTCTTCACTAACAGGCTACTTAAAGAAAAAGGGCTCTGAAGGTTTCTTGCTGAAGATCACACTTTGTATCAATAATTACACCTTGTCTGAAGCAGTTATTTGAACTGATCATCTGAAAGACCTTCTGCTCTTCTCTGACATCTCTACTGATGGCTGAAGAAGTCATTGATCCAAATTCTAATTAGTACAGCACAACAGGTCAAACTGTAAACTCTAAATAGTACACTACTGTCTTTTGTTTAAGGTAGTGTTGCCCCATGAAAAATAAAGTCTCGTGTTCATCCAAATGTGAAAAGGAATATTCTGAAAATCACAATAATGTTTTCTACAAAGTTTGACTCAAAATTTGGTAGACAAAGAGTCGACCATTTTATCTATACTGTGTAAACAGGAAAAACAGCAGGATGCTATGAAAGTGCTGGACTCAGGAATTCAGATAAATGCATCAATGTGTTCATTCATGTTTGGATTTTACTGATGAAGAAATCTAGAAATACATTAGTTACTTTAATACCAAACAAGATGAAAGGCTTCTTGATCACAATCCTATATATTGTACTAGAAGACCTTGATCTGGATTAGAGGCAAAGGAGTATACCAATTGCTCAGAAATAGGCAGGATACTTGCGGTACCTCTATCACCACGGTTCTCAAAAAGAGTAGAAATGGGAATCCCAGGACCTGTTGTAAGAATGATAAAAAGTCAGTTTACAGTTTGAAGCTGGAATTTGGTGATGCAGGGTGTACTACATTAACATTGATAAATGACAGGAGTTAAAGAGCTCAAAGCTGATGCAAAAATCTGAATCTTCTCTGCTGTATAAGTCACCATCCCTGCTACAATACATAAGGTACTGTGTGTACAAAGACTTGGCATTGCTCAGCAAACATAATAGAAGCAATTTTAAATCTACTGACGCTTACTCCCTAGAGATGAAGTGACATCTAGTTAATACCTGAGATGCGATTACATAAGGTGAATGCAGAACTAACAATGTGAAACATTCTTCTGAGAACATGTCACATCGTATTTGTGAAGGTGAGTGCCTTTCACATGGTGATGACCTTACTGACTATTTTGTGCAAGAATGATTGAAAGGTGTTGTTATTTGCTGCATTTGGTTCTCTCCTCAACAGAAGTTCTAAGGAACTTTTCAGCTGATCAGTCGGTGCAGAATCACAAGAACAGTAAACTTTATAAGAAGTACACTGAAGGAAAACCTTGGATCCTTTTCCTCTTTTTTCTAGATTGTGATGTCACTGTTTTTTGAGTACAGCAGTGGATGAACTCTCAGGTCACTGAAACCACCTGACTTATTACAAAAGAGCTAAGACTTCTTTTAATACTTGTGTCTTGCAAGCAGATTTAATGACCACATATCTTGAATTGAATTTTTCTTAGATAATTTATAGAAAATGTTCTCAGGTGCTAAATAGCCAACATTCATGGCTGACACAGGTCTTCATTTCAATTGGGAAACACAGTGCAGTAGTTTCTCACATCTAACTTTGATCACATAAACTGGAAAACAGTATGTGTTTCTAAATCCTGTTCTGGCGGCTGCAAGAAAAAACATGCCTTTCACGAGCTGGATTAAAATCTGTTTTGTGGCATGAAGGAGATTCATAAATCCAATTTTAATTCTCAAAATCCCAAGCTTTTTCTTGAAAAAGTGAAAAAAAATCATTAATAGATCTGTATTTACTGAAACACCACAACATTTTTGAACATGGGAAGTCTCTTCCTGGAAATCCTTCCTGGTTATTGTGAAATTTTTGTGAGTCATACAAAAATAATTTGGGATAATCAGCATTGATAGTGCTGATAAATTTTAAAGAACAACTGGTTATATGTTTGGTCCTATGGCATACATACCATAACAGATCAAGGCATAGTACTTTGAATGTTCACTGAATCTTGCTGTATAATACTGGCATCTCTCTTTCCTTAAATTGCAAGTAATGCATTGCTTTCTCATAGGTTTACTTCCAATGCTGATTCTAAGACAAAAATCAAACAAAGCAATCATTATTTTGCTAAAATTAACTTTATATGTGTCTGTCTCATATTCTTGTATGCAGGCCCTCTACTTTCAGAACAGTTAATTTAAAAAGAAATGCTTGGTCTTTTTATCAATTTTCCCCAAAGAGTATATTTAAATGTTAAATGGCACTTCTCTCAATTGTCAGATAGAATCTGAGGTTAAGATTTAGTTAAAATAGCTTATGAAATTACACACTAAACATCTTGAAACTAAATTGTTTTATTGACAAATCCAGAGACATCTTCTATTAACCTACTATCATTAAGACAATGTTGATAACACTTACTTGTAAATATTCCTTCTTCCTGGATAGCCTTCAAATTCATTGCTTGAATAAAAACTGCAAATTCATTTATATGTTAATAAATAATCCATAAAATTATGACCTATGAACAAGCATCAAGATGAAAAGCTGTCTTGGAAGTTAATTTAAACTTTTTGAGATTTCTGCATGTGATGGAAGAGTAGTTAAGCTTACATACCTTTCATCTTAATAAATCTTTGCTCAGACTATGATTAGTCTATCTTAATTCTATGAGCTAATCTCTCCAATTATGTAAGCTGCTTCTATCTATACAGTAAGCTCAATGAGAGATCATAAAAAGACAAGTAACTGCAAATTGTGTGAGGGTTAAGCACATGATTCAATAAAATGTTTTTAAATAAGCCTCTCTAAGATGGGTGATAAAAATAAATAGAAAATTGAGGGCAATTTGCAAAGAATCTTTCATAAGTAAATCATGTTTACAAACCTATACAGTGCCTTAGCATACAAATTTGTTGTGGATGCATTCAGATAAAAAACAAATTACACCTAATTATAATCTGATGAGTTAACAAACAGTGTTCAAATGATTAAGTGTTGCTTTTACTGACAACACTCCCAACCTTTTTACTTCATGATACTTACATTGCATCATTTGTTACTCTGAAAATGTATATTGCCTCCCATTCTCCACTTGTAACTTGGATTGCATTCTCCTGTGTGGTGAGACATTTAAGGTACTGAATATTGTAGAATTCCTTTAGGACAGTACATCAATATAGAGCACTTGTCTTGACTTACCACAGAGCCATTGATGTAATGAATATGCTTATAACCATTCTTGTCACTAAAAATTTTGTAGTATGAACTGCTGTCTGATGTAAAATATGGTGCAGAAACAAAGAACTGAAACAATGGAAGAAAAACAGTAGATGAGATATAAGACTGTCCAAGCTGTTTAGCAGATTGTACTACACATACTAAAAGTAACAAGACTATTTAATCAATTCAAATTGGACAAACTACTTTGCATGGGTTTGTACCTGTGATATTCAATCTCCCCATGATTATGTACAATTTCTTTCATTTTGGATTTCTTAAACTGATAATACAGATACCTCAAGAATACCACAGACGTGAGCTCTCTACTTGTAAGTAGAATAATTTGTATATTCTGAATGACCTTTCTTAGTTGTCTAAAAACAGGCAGAAATTATTTTTAACAAATAAACAAATAAGTTTCTGAATAAAGCTAATGTTCATGAATGGTGCCAGACTGAGTATTCTGTAGACCTCAGTTTGTCTGCTTCACTGAAAAAGTACAGCATCATAGAAATGGATATCTGAAGTTTCCCATACCATTCCACTAATTTTAAGGAACAGATTACTCCAGATAAGACCATTTAAATTTGACTTCCTTTCAAAGAATCACGTCTTTACTAAAATTGTCAGTCAAGGTTGAATTACTGCAACTCTAAGTTTTGTTTTCAAAACATGAAGATATGAAGATATAGGAATGACCTGCAAGCACTTCAACATAGTCAAACATTCCTGAGTGAGTATACCTTTTGAATAATATTAACTCAAGCTCGACTAAGACTTCTGACCACAAGTTAATTTCTCCTGGAGATTGTATCTGTGATTTCTAATACTTGAAAACCTGTAGAGGCAAAAGCTGGGATTTATGCATATGTGTAAATTCTTTAGCTCTAATAAAAATCTGTCATCAGAATCTCAAGTGAAGTGTCAAAAAAAAAAAAAAAGGACCAAGTAAAAGAAATAATTCTTGTAAATATATGATCTTCTCATTAAAACATCTCAAGGGACAGTGCACTGAAAATTGAATCTCATTGTTAAGTCCACTACGGGATATTCAGGCAGTGTGAGGTTCACACACTTGATTCTGTTAACTTCCCCTGCCTGAAAGTAAATATAAGCAACACTACATATTCACTGTTGGAATACAGCCTGTATGACTGCAAATACTGATCTCATGATCTTACAATTTCCTGGTAGCTTTGTTGTTATTGCAAGTTTCCGAAGGTATATGGTTGTCTAGGATTACTGGGCAGAGAAAACATCTTTTGCTAAGAGGTAACTCCAGAGAAGTATCACCTGCCATTCTAAGGAGAGTATCTTACCTTGATGGTTCCCTCTTAGCTGAAGATGTGCAGCACCTGGCACTAAAACTCTTCTGAATGGACAGGTTTTATTCTTAAGATACTGTGATAGCCCATTTTATCCCTTGCCCTAGTGTCACCAGAGGAAGTTTACATCTATTCATCCAGAATGCTTCTGAGGATTACACTGCACTATAAATCTACCTCATTTCATTACTTTCCTCCCTTCATTAATTTCTGTCTCGACCAACTTTCCTGTCTAGTCAGTTGGTTGGGACAGAAATAGGTTTTTAAATTTAGAAAGCAGATCGCCAGATACTTCGTCTAGCACAGCATTAAAAGCCTCAGTCCTACAGTGCAACAAGTCTAAGCAGTAGTGCTGTATGTCTCAGAAGGGTGCTTCATGTTCCAAAACACTGATGGGAAGATGCAGGAAGCTGTAGCTTTTAAGTGAATTAAAATAGAATACAACAAGAAAACCTACTCCGCCTGCCCATCCTGTTTGACTCTCTTCTATGTGCTGTTGATTCTGAAAAACAAAAGCAAACATACACTCTTTAAGAAGATTGAGTTTAAGGAGATTCAAAAATCTTTAAAAAAGTCAGTAGCTGCCTGCAAAAGAGAATTTTGGAATATTTCCTATGAAGGTTCAGGGAGTTGGAGGCTGTCTAAGTAAATAATATTGCTGTATTAAGGCAATTACATTAATTAAACTATTGTTTTAACAGCTGTCATCAGACCTAAATAAAAGTTAAAGCAATTATACTACTTTTTCACTGGAAACAAGAATGGAAAACTACCTAATCTCATTAATTTTTGGCAAAAATTCAAGTAAAATAATATCAGCAAAATTAATGCTAAACATTTGATTTAGATTTTCAGCTTGTTTGTATTTTCTTTGATTTCAGAGTTGAGATGTTGATTTAGAGCAGTGGTGATGTGACTACTAAGGTATTCTGAGACTATGAATATAAATTTAGAACACCTTAATTCCTCGTTCTTAAAGCTGATTTGGAAACAGACTTATACTGAGCATCAATAATGCAGCTAAAGGTGCTTTTACATTTGTACTTATGTTTTGCTTGTAAAGTTTCTAGTGACATATTTAAAAATCTGCATTCAATCAATGTATTTCTTTTTCTATCTTGCAAATTTTTCTTTATACTGTTCATTCAATACAGTATTTCTTCACAGTTTGAAATAAAATCAACAAATCTGCTTTTTAAGGAATATGATTTGTATTTCTTACCCTCAGCATAATCTCATTACTATTTAAAATCATGTGCTCTCCCTTCTAATTTAATCCCCACAAAGTGACTTGAGGAAAAGTTGCAGGTCCTTGTCCCTTAGAAGACTAGCACTTTGCAAGGGCTCCACTGAGCGACTAATTGAAAAGATGGATTTTATTTCTTTTTAAGATAATAAAAATGGGATGTATTGTTTTATATCTGCATCCTAACATTATTTTCCTTTCTTTAAATGAAAACTCAGATCTTGATGATATAGTACATTAGGGATATACTTAAATTCTCTCATTTGAGTAGCCCAAATTTCACAAAGATATGCCTACCTTTTACTCATATGAATAGTTCCACTGCTCATATTGGTTTCTGTGGTCTAGTCACATGAGAAAGAGTTGAACATGTGAACATTTCTGATGAATCGATACTTTTGGAACATCTTGTAGATTATATTTTGTTATTATTTTCAGATACATAAAACATAGCAAGTTTATTGTACATTAGAGACTCAATGCAATCTGAATTCAACAAGAGAACTATTTTTGCCAAAGGAAACGTTCAGAGATATACTTTCTGATGGCAAATAGAGCTAATGCAGCAGTCCCATCTGTTCACACTCCTTCGACTGGCCATTTGTGCAAACTTTAATGTGATAAAAGCATTGTATCACTGTATAAATATAGAATTATAGAAACGTCAGTAGTGACTCCATAAATAAGGTTTCATGGAGAAATGCAATTAAACAAGGATCATGAACAACGTCCTGAAAGATGTTAATTGGTCTGGTCTGGTCTGGTTCCAGCAAAGCAATTAAGCACATGCTTAATTTTAAACACATAAACAGATCTACTGAAGTAAATAAAACTGGTTATGTGCTAGAAGTTAAGCTTGTGTTAAAGTACTTCACTGGATTGTGCTAGAATCCTAGAAACCTTATATGTTTTTTTGTTTCCATTAAAATACCTAATTATTAAAATATAGCTTACTTGCAGACAAGGTAGAGATTCAGTGTTAATGTACCTATAAAGTGGAACAATTACTTAGGAAATATAGCAAATGCTGCATGCAACATGGCTTTTCCCCTACTAAGTTACAATATTTCTCTATGGAATACTACTTCAATGACAATGTTTTTGAAGTAACAGGACTTTAAATTCCCTTTGAATTTGCAACAGTTTTCATGTTAAAGAGAAGTAAAATTCTTTTCAGCTTGAAAAGTCTGGGTCAATAAACTCTGAATTTATAATGTATCAGTCATACAGAATGCTTTAATAAATATTCTTGCATTTTATTTCCAATTAGTTCAAGGTTTCATCTAATGTTAGCTTTAATAGGTGTTCTGTACCTGAACCCTACGAACAAGACAAGCCAAAAGCACAAATACTAAAAGACGACAAATGAGATCTCTGTATTAGATTTACTGAAATTCAGGGCTGTCTTTCCTTCAGGATCTATATAAATTTATCTGTGTGTATTTATCTTTTCAGGCTTTACAAAGCTCTGTTCTGTTCAACAGTCTTCTTTCCCAACTGACTAAATCATAGAATGACATATTGAAACCAAATGTAGTTACTGTTGCAATTAGGCTGAAGTTTTCTTTTCAGAAAGATTGTGTTTCTGAAAACTTGCCTACTGTCTAGAACTGTATGATTTGATAAAACAGAAGAATTTCTTCTTCCAAAAAACCTGCCTTACTATTAATGTGTATGTTCTTTCAAATAATCTAACTTAATCTAAAAGCACATGATTTAGTCAGTCTTAGTATGGAATTTCAACATGGCATAATAAGATTTTATTAAAAAAAAATACAGATCCTACATGGTTTCACTTTTGAAGATGCTAACAGAAGAAGGAAATAAACAACATTACTGAAAGCCTCTCAACAGCATTTTAGGTGGTTGATGTTGTTTTTGTTTTGGTTGTTATTTAAATTTCACACAGAAAAAAAGTTTATTTCCTGGAGTATTTAGTATTTTTTCAGCCCTCTTCCAGCAATTAAAATACTGAAAAAGGTATCACTACTAGCAAAATATTATTGTGATAAAATACTGAAAAATATAATTATGGCAGGGATTTTAAAATGCTAATTTCAGTAATTTTAAATTTATATTTCCAACTTCATTACCTCTGGACAGTCCCAAGTATTTGAATGCTCTTTGAAGTCACAAATAGCTAAGACTGAAAAATTCTGTATTCTCTTCAGCCACTGCACACAGATTCGAGTATCTGTTACCCAAGTAAGCCAAGTAAAATAGTGATCACTAAAATATAAAAAATTTAAAAAGGGAGAAATGGCAGTTATTAAACAACAGGAGTATAGAAGCATTGCTACAGATTGCATTCCCCACATTTCTCTCTGAAAAACAACAGCAAAGCTTTCAGTGTTTTAGGGTACTTTTTTATCATTTGTAACAATGTAGCATATGGACAGCCAAAATAAAAATGCAATATTTCTAGTTAGCTGCTGATCCTTTTACGGGTTTAATATGGCAGAACACTGTTAGATAAAGCACAACTCAGAGGTTCAAGCATTTAAAACAAATAGACAAAACCTTTTTTTCAACCAAGAAAAGACATATTTGAGGGCACACTACCTGGATGCTATGATTGCAGGAACTGGCACCTCCTTAGGACCAAATGCTTCAGAGTAAATAGTGTCTACAATAAACACTTTAACAGTAGGATTTTTAGCTCCAGCCTTCAAAGAAAATGTTTGAGGTTATTAAAACCAGGCTCTGGATAATTCAGATTGAGGAAAATCAAAACACTTTTTGCATTAAAGTAGACAGGTTACAAAATATGAATTCAGTTGAGTATAATACAGCAAATAGTCTTATAAGATCTAAGAGTGACACTGCAGCAGTAGCACATACTTAGTTTACTATCATTTATATTTATATATTAAAGAAGGAAACCTTTTAAACATTTGAGTTTAGTGCCTTTCTCTACAGAAAATGTGCTCGGTGGTAGCAATTGTTCTCTTTGCAGTGGGGGTCTTTGCAGCACACATTACACCGACTTCAGCATAAAACTCCAGTTTATTCACATGATTGCAAGTGCTGTTTGACATCCCAACTGGGAAATGGCTGCTTAAACTGATTTCATGGCTGCTTCTTCACTGCATACATTATCAGTTTTTTAATTCTTCTCCATGTGTGGTCTAAACCATCCAGTTTTACTTTAGAACTGTGACCCAGCTGACAGGTGAGCAAATTCTTTAAATACACTAACATGATCCCTTGCAATCATATGAACATGATAAGAGTCAGGAGAGCTTTCTAATACATGCAGAAGAAATGCCAACCCAAAACCTTCTTGCCTTAGATCTGGCACTTGAAAGCAATTAAAATCCAAAGCCCCTTAAGATCAAAAAGCACTATGAAGTGTGCAAATAAAGCAAAGAGTTTATTTTTTAAAAATATATATATAGAAAAACTTAGTCTCATAATTTATTTACTATAATGAAAAATAACAACTGCATCATTTATACACTGGAAGAGGAAAACTGAATTGAAAAATATTAAGCACTTTTGCACATACTTTTTGCCTATGTGAGTAATTCCATTTATTTCACTGGTATTATATAATTTTGTATGTACCTACAGCTTTTTCAGAACTTAGACAAAGCTTGTTTTCTTGTATTTAAGTCACAACAGATTTAACCACGGTAATACTTAAGGAATTAAGCACAGTTAATTTTCTCATTCTCACAACTCATTTCTCAACAGAAAGGAAGTCAAAAGAATGATAAAACATACCTTTGGGTATGGGATAGTTATTTTTCTAGGATACTGGTCCTCCCCAAAATATGAATATTCAATAACTGGTATGTCAGAATCATTAAATTGTACATATGCTAAATATCTTCCACTTGGAGACCACCACAGTGCATATTTTGTTGCTAACATCTCCTCTGAGGAAAAAAATAAAAGTTTATAACTGCAATCTACCTTCCAATCTATTTTAGCACTCTACTCAGCAATCTAGACACATAAAGACAGTTACACTAAATAAATAGCATCAAAATATGCACACAGCTCCCACTTAATTCACTTGGGATTTTTCTGTGTGCATGTTTTTTAAAATTTTTTTGGCTGCACTGAACTGCCAAATTTTCACTGAAATTAAAATTTCAAATCTTAATTCCCAGCCTCTGCCTCTTGCATTAGAAGGAAGACAACTATGTAGAGTTCTGATACAGTTTCAGTAACAAAGACTCAGGATTTTGGTTATGTGTTATGAATACAAAATTCATACATTGTACAGTAAATACAATATGGAAAAGAAGTAATCCTTAGGGCTGAAAAAAAAGGGTATCATCACAGATATTTTAAAATGGATTTTGAAAACCAGAACCAATCTAAACAAAGCATTTATCATGCTGTTGCCCTTCAAGGTTTACTTACCTTCATAGACCCAGTCAGGAATCCCATTAAATATTTCATTCTGTTTTCCATCACTAGTTATTTTAACTGGTGCCTCTCTAGGACTTCGTTTCAAATAGATATTATTCTGATATACATATACCTAAAGACAAGAAAGTTTTTTTTAAGAGTACAGCCAATAACAGGATTAGAGCAAGATCTTCTGCAGTCAATACTTGTGTATTACACTACCAAGATCTAATGAATACAAAATGTGAAATGGTACACTAACAGCCCTTGTAAATTCTGCAAGAGCTGGTATGTCAGCAAATAAATTAAACATTGCAGGCCAAATTCTGTGTTCACTAAAAATTTTAGAACTGATTTTAAATCCTGCATCTGTAAATCTCCATTTTAAATTCATGTGTTACACAGCATCAAAGGAAAACCAATTGGTGTTCAGGCCTTGAAACTGCATTTAATCTTATATAAAATTATGTTGGTCAATTCTGGATAAAGACTGGTGAGCAAACTGAAACACATAATGTACCTGAGAACATAGATTATTCTTCTCTTGAGACACAGACAGTAAAATCTGAACAAGTTAAAACTGTTTTCTTTGCCATTATTTCTCATAACCAAGATTAATAAACAGGCCTGTCAAAAATATGGCCAAAATATTTTTAAAAACCCCAAAAAACCAAATATAAATGTCTTTTAGCCATACAAAGCAAATTCATTCTAGGACTTAATTATCTTTACTAACCAATTTGTGTCCAACGGGTGACCAGGATATATACTGAATTTTATGTGGAAGCTGATTTTCTGTTACAAAACCACTAAAAAAAGGAAAGAAGTTGAAATGGCTTTTTGTGCACAGTGCAAATGGATCATTATACTGTACATTAATAAAAAAGTCACAAAGTCATTTTCTAACTGCTTATTGTTTCTCGAGCAATGCACGATTAAGGCAGGCAGAGACATGCAGTTAACACCATGGTGTGCACCAGTGCTGGCAAATGCTTAAACTTACTCCTTTGAAAACCTATCCAACAGCCTAAGGAGCCAGCCTTATCTGTTTCCAAATGCTGCACAAGCACCTACAGTCATTTGCTGTAGCTGCAGTCTGTGTTACAGTCTCAGCAGGTTATTGGGAAATGTGAACTCAGCACGCACTGAGGCAGGAGCAACAGCAGCACGTCCAGCACTCGCTGAGGATCCCAACTCCCATGCAGCACCCCTCTGCTCACAGCAGCTTGCAGCAACTTCTTCCTGTCACCTTGAGCCAACAGCTGCCCAAGAATGGTGCAGCTCAGTGCAGCCCCTGTTGCTCAGAACTAAGCACATTTGGTCACACTGATGCTTTCAGCATAAAAAGGTGACTGCAGAGGCAGATGGCCTCCTTTGGATTTGGGTGGAAAGGGAAGTGGTTTGGGCAATCTTGGGAAAGAGACCAAATGTCATGGGAAAAGCTACAGACTTTGAGGAATGCAGGGTGGGCTGTTACAAGAGTTTTAGGGAAGCTGAAGATTAGACCAATGATAAAAAGAATGAATTAGTAGAAGAGGATGGAGACAAAAGAGAATATTGAGCAGTGAAAGTTTTAGGGCATGAATAGAAATCAATCCAGATGAAAAGAATGTATGATTTTTCCTAGAGAACATTTTTTTTTCTCAAGCAAACAAGTAACCTGACAGATTTAGGCAAAAGCAAAGCAAGTTGGTAGTCACATTACTACAGTTTTGGAGTGAATGCTTGCAAGCACATCACTACAGTGTATGCACCACAGCTGTCTGTAAGAAATATCAGGCCTTACCCATTTATGAGATCATAAATGTGATATGATGCTGTATAAGAGTATCTCCACAGCTGCATAAATGAAACAAGAGAATATTATTAACCTTGAAAAAGATAATCTAATTACAAATAATCAGCTGCCTCCTCACAGCCAATCCCTTTCTCAAGAAAATACCAAGAAACATTTACCTATGGTAAACACAATTAACAAAGTACTAAATAAAATTAAACATTACATTAAGAGGTATATTAAAATAATTACCTTTGAATAATTGCTTTCCAGAGCTATGAAATATTGGTCTGATGACATCACATAATTTGAAGCATTAACTTGTTTCTGAAAAATTAAGAAGTAGATTAGATTCTATTCTCACTCACTTTTAAACTGTAACTTGAAATACACCTGCACTTTTCTGCCTGTTTATTAATGATAAAGGTACGTACCATTGTGCTGTTTGTCAGGATGGTGGTTGCATAATTAATTTCAACATTGTAAAGAATAATATCATCCTCTGGAGACTGATGAAGATACTCGTTATCTTTATAAACAAGATAAAATGTTTGTTACCTTCACAGAAGATACTATACAACATATCTGTTTATCAACAAATTCACACCTCTTTCAAAGAATATGTTTTAAGCAAATATATTTTGGCATCTACATAAAAAATGTTTTTCTTCTAATGATGCTGAGGTACAGAGTTATCAAGAAACTGACCTCAGGTTCTTGAGTACATTTTCGAGATCATACACTGCACAGAGGATCAACTATTTAGCTTTAAAAGTAAATGCCAGATTTTATTCTCGTGTCTGATCAAGAATGCCAGTGACAGACCCATTAGAAAGTCCGTATCAAAATGTAAATGTTTTAAAGAAAAATACCTTTGCTTATCATTTTACCAGAACATACTTATTTGTATATTCTGCAGATAAAAGCAGTACCACACAACTGACACTGCATGACTCTATCCTTACTCACAAGAGTCCTACAAAATAAGGGTGAGTGGGCTTCACTGAAAATAGAATTTAACCCTGCCTTTTCTCAAGATCTGAGCTATAGTTTGGTAGAGAATAAAGATCAGAATTTTAGCTTCAGATTATTATTTTCACTTCTATAAACAGAGAGAATGAATTACATATGTGGGGTAGCTAGAAAACAAGACTAAAAGTTAAATAGGAGCCTGAAACATTGCGAAGATGTTCATTTTTAGGAAATTAGATCACCCTTGGATCTTCTGAGCACTCTTGTGTGATTTGTGTAACAGTATTTGTATTTAAAATCATCCTTAGGATGAAATATACAATTTTAACTCCTTGTTTCAGAAGAGAAGTAGACATATGGAATGCTGTAGGCATGACTATCTATGGAATCTATGGCATGACTTTTGTGTGAGTTTTGTGACTGTTAAAAGGAAAGATAAGTCTAAGTGAGAAAGCTATAAAGAGAGAAGAAGAATATTAGGTTTAGGTGATATGCTGCCTACATTCTTCAGACATTCAGACAGAATTCTAACAAAGAGCGACCTAATTTTTAAATCATACAAGTGATATCTACACACCTCAAGCTGCTCATTGTAAAATTGAACCACTCAAGCAACGCCTCACTCATAAGGCTTTACTTCAGTTCTAAAATTGTGGGCTAAAACTAGCTTGGTGAGACTCCATCTGAATGGGCACTATGCTGTTGTGTTGCTTCCTGCTGCTGGCAGAGAACAGCGCTTGAGGCAGCACAGAGATGGGAGCAGTGTGAGTGCTAGAATGTAATCAGCCTAGCTACAGTCTCCCTGGGCTGTGCAATTCACTGATAACAAGAGCAGCACTTCAGCCACACACAGACACGTTTATATCAGCAGCAATTAACTTCATGACTCCACCTTAAGGAACTTAGAAAGTCAGCTTTATTTTCTATGCCATATCCTGGAACTCAGGAATTTCAGCAGTGTCAGCACTTCCTGAAACAACATTAGAACAGCTGGCCTCATTGCAGAGCCAGGTACTACTGAAAACAAAGAACAGGACCTGTAAGACAGACTACCTCAATCATTACAAGTGGTAAGTGAAGAAGTGCTGTGAAAAGCATGAAAAGGAGATTGCTTAAGGAATGACTGACACATTGACAAATTTCTTTCACTTGATGCAATGAATATGACAGTAAAAGAAATAAAACACTGAAGGCCTCTGTAAAATTATAGTTTATACTTGACTCAGACATGTCTGTTGAAACATCAAATACCTGGATTTTCTAGAATGACTGACAGAACAGTAAATTTCAACCATAAGTTTTGACTAACACATTGTTTAATTTCATAGTTAGCATTCATTCAAAGTAAAGCTGGAAGGAAAATACATTTCTCAGTCTGTGTAAACCAGTCTGGAAATACATATTAGAAAGGCTTATCTATGTTTGAGAAAAGGTTTTACTTACCTGACACCCAATATGGAAAAAATGTTTTATATTGGAAATTTCCATTCAAATAATCCTCCAAGGTAAGAGCTCTAGGACCATCATCTGTGTTGACAACTAAGCATAAGACAAAAATTTTCTGTTAATGACAAGAGGGAAAAAAAATTATTAGTTCAGTGTTTTGGTTTTTTTCTGCATTTAATGCCATGCAAGAGTGAGGATACCATAGTCCTGGAGATATGCAAATCGTAGGTGCAGCAGAAATGAAAGTTCCCTGTTACTGTTCTGATAAGGTCCTTTAGCCTCTGGAAGACTCATCTTTGGGAATGCAAAATTAACTAGACAAACTAATTTATTTCAACCATTTATTCACTTGGACACATTTACCTGAAGACCTGTGATTCCAGATAAGCCTTTTCCACACAAAAGACAAATTAAAGGTTGCTTGGTGGTTTTTATTTTTTTTTTAAGCATGGGTTTCATGAACTTGTAGAGGTAACTATTTTAATCAGGACCTTCACATGTTCAGCAAATGGTCAAACAACAGGATGCAAACCCTAACTTCCAAATTTTGTACATGCCTCATTAACCACAGTTAGAAGATAGCTTGCAAAATAATCACCATCCACACATATTTCTTAGTAGTCATATGAATAACATTGATGAAGGAATGCAGGTAAAAATAGTACTGAAAAGTAATGAATGAGTGAACCCAAACTTGAACTTTTTATTTAATGCTGCAAAAGAAAATTGACAATGATTCTTGAAAGAAGATAGATACTCAAATATTTGACTTCTAAGCAGGTCAGATAACTGTATTAAAATAATGCAAGTGGAGGCTGGTTTTCTGGATATTGTCTGGCTATATTTTCCCCCAAAGCTAAACAACTTAAGCTAGAGCAGATTTTAAAAGAAAATTCAAGGTAAATCAACTGGATAGGAAGAGGATTATTCTGTGCAGTTCCTGTGTAGAACCTATGCAATTCACAAGAGTGAGAATAATCAAAATATTTAATCCTCAAAAGACATATGAACTGTTCTGATAAAGGCCAGTCTTTAAAGTTCAATAGCATAATAATGGCAGCTTTCAGGTCTAGGCATTCTGGACGCTATGCTTTCCCTTTTAAAATCAAAGGGACTCCTGCCAGGGTTTTCAGAGGTAGTAGAGATGTCACACTGCAGCTTAGCAGATCTTTGCCACTTCCCCTGTTTGTTCCTTCAGAGCTCTCAGATGACAGTCAGATAATCAAGATGACTCGTTGCTCTCAGGTTTCATATCATGCTCCATCACTTGCTCATTAGTTGCCCTCTCTGTTAAGATCACACTGACTTCCTGGGAAATGTTTCTTCATATTGCATTCTATGGCACTTCGTAATGATAACACATATTTTCTTCTGCTAAGTGACTATTACTTACTGTAGAATACACATGTCAGGTTGACTGTTGACACAAGCCTTGTCTGCACTAATGCAGAAGAAAGCTGTCACAAGGAATAAAACTGAATGCCAATCCAAAGGCAAAACCCTGTCCCTATAAACTCTGAGCTAGCAATATATCCAGAAAATATCCCAAGAAGTTCAATAAGAAGTTAATCCCTCTTGCTAATACTATGACTGCATATTACACATCTTTAATACACTAATGATAAACATAGAAGATGACAGACTTCTATATCTAGAATATAGATATCTAGAAGACTAGATACGGGTAAACCAACACAATCCTTTATATTTCAAAGCTCTCCTGGCTTATGGCTATTCCACATGTTCTAATGTGCATCTTTATAAATTGTGTCTAGGCTTGCCAAATTACAGTAAGCATACATAATAATCAGAAGGTATTGTTGTTTCTGTATATTGTTATTTTTTAATGTATATATATATGCATTTTATATATTTTATATGTATTTAACATACATGTATTTTTATAAGTATTTTATTTAGCATCCACTGCTGAACATCAAGTAGAGGACATGACAAAGGAAAACTGCTTAGTGTTATTGTCTGCTTCTGGACTAGAATTTCCATTCTCATCTCTGTGCGCTGATGCTGAATAGCTGAAGCACAAGCTCCCCCAACATGAGGAAACACAAAACTCAATTTAGCACCAGAAATTAATTCCAGCACTCCTGACCCTGCTCCAAAACTTTGGTCACACTCAGCATCAAATCACATCAACTGAACCTGCTTTTCCACTTTTGGATTTGGCTGAGGTGTTGCAGAGGACACTACCTCTTCATAAGAAACTGGCTGCTCAGCCACAAAGTGGTGAGCTCTATGCCCTCACCTGTGAAATCAGAGAAACAGGGATTGGGCCTCAGGCCTAGGCCAAGAGTACACAGGGAAGAGAAACATCGACAGACATGGCTTTGGACATTCATTAAAAATAGCAGAAGAGATTAATTTGAAGCCTAAGCAATACAAACAGTTAATTGTAACTCTGGCTGGGGTTCCACTATTGCTTCTCAATTGCAGGCAGGTATTTTCTTCCTTTATGCTGCAGAAGAAGAGGAGTAGGTACATCAGTGTACAAGTGAAAAGCTCCTTTCTGAACCATTTGGAGTTGCAGTTTCATAGCTGGGTTATCACTGTCAGGTAAATCCCACACATTCCTAATTCAAAGATGTGTCAAAAAACAGTCCATGATTTCTCAGGCATGGATGCCATTTGCTACACTGATATTGCCCACCTTGCTCTTCCGAGCCTCATAGAAATTGTCTAATACTTGCAGTTTCAAGTATTTCCCTCTTAATAAGCTCTCAAAAATTATTTTCCTGTTAACTTTTGAGAATCTTTGACATTTTTATACACTTGCATGTGTAAATCAAAACCACCTACCACATTTTAAGAAGAACATGATATGACTAGAAACTTAGCAGACAAAACCAGAACTAAATGCTCTTTCCATTTTTCTTTGCAGATTTCCTAAGTAGAAATTTATTTGGTCTGTGTCTATACATTCTCATATGCATTTAATTGTCTTTCTAGATTGCCACATCTTTTCAGTTGAGCAGTGGTAAAGCCGGAATGTACAAACAACATTCCAGCTGTGTAGCCATTTCCTGTCCGTCTCCAGCTCGCAAAATTTGTAACTACAAAACTAATTAGTATTTCTTCTATTTACAACTGATCAGTAGACTACTTACAATTCAAAAAGGTTAAGGCATTTGAACAGGTAACTGTAGCACTTGCAGTTCCATGTGAGAATAAGAAGCCATAACGTGTCAGATCCACAATTATGTTGGATCTGACACATTCACCATAATTGTGCGTTGGACAACACTGTGTTTGTCAATTGTCTAAAATGCTCCCCCAAAAGCATCCTGTGAAGTAAGATAATTTCTTTATCATCCTACTGGATCTAAATATGATGTTTGGTATGACTGGTTATCAAGTCACTATTCCAAGATATGCTACAAGAGTGCTCCATATTTGCTGAGGTACTGAAGAGGCCAAAGAGCTGTATTTGACAACAAAAAACCCTTTTCACATTTTTCTTTTTCCTACAGTACCTTCCATCATCTTTATCACTTCTTCCTACATTCACTTTTTTCTACAGTACCTTCCATCATCTTTATCAACTTCTTCAGGCTGCCAAACTGATCCTTGGTCTCCAATCTCTTTGTTCCCTCACTACTATTTTTTAAATTTAAATATCATAAAAATATATCCGCCTTCCTTGTCATAAAATGCAGATCTGATGGGAGCAAGTCTGACTTGATACCATGCATTTACCTTGTAGTGAAAACTCAGATGTGACCATGCTTAGCTAGACAAAAAATCTGGCACCCCACTATTGACAGTAAAAGTCAAACTGTCACTCTGAGGTGCTATCTCTTCCAGCACTGCATAATATATATGCATATCTATATCTATCTATAGATATATATAACTGATATACATCTATCCTCATATTAAAATGCTACATAACAAAATCATCTCTGACTGCTTCAGAAACCTTCAACACTTCTCAACAACTCAGGATAAACATTAGTCACAAAAATAACAGATACGAAAGAGATTTCACCTTTCACAAAACCTGCATATTAACTGCAGGACTTAACTTTCACTAGGCTTAAGCAGATGGTTGATTTTATAACATTTAGTTGTAAATACAAAACGGTTTCTCCATCTCAGTCTCCCTGCCCACACATGAAAAAAAAGAATAATAACAGAAAAAAATAGTCTTTAAATAGATAGTGTTACTGGAATATAAACCTTTTATTAATATTTTAATTATTTCAGAGGCATTAAAGTAATCTGCTGTAGTGATAAGGTCATGTAAATACTTCTATTGCCATTGCTATCTTGTCATAGAAAACAATAACCACCAAGTCAGCGCCACTCATGTTCAAAATTTCAAAACTCATTTCAACCTTCACCAGAGCACTCAGCAGACCACAATGGGGTGATTTACCTACAGCTGGCGTTATAATACTAGAGCAAACTATCCATCCCTGTTTTATACAATGCTGACTTTAATTTTCAAATGTAAGCTTAAATATATTCACAATTAATCCATCAAACCCCATCTACAAAAAAAAAAAAAAAAAAAAAAAAAAAAAAAAAAAAAAAAAAGAAGTTTAACTTGTAATTGGATACAGAACTTCTGTAATTATTACACAAGCATTTAAAACAAAATGCAAGTTCACTAAGCTAAAGAAAATTACTAACAGTTTGGAAAAGTCTCCTAACCCCTAAAACAGAAAAATAATATGGGAAGATCTGAGAGTTATTTTTGCAGTGGTGACTAAGAACATTATATATCATGCACAATGAAGTTAATTCAGGTGCTTTTCACTTCAAGGAGTCCCTTGTCTCAACATCTGCTGGCATTTCAATTCTACCTTCAGGATATTTCAGCTGTCAGTACATTTCTGTAAAGTGAAAAGGCCATAATAATTCTGACAGGACAATCCTATTGTCATTATCAAACATGATTTGATAAACTTTTGTGAACTTCAAAAGTAACAATAGCCAAAGATACTGCATTTTACACTGCATTAGATTAGAAATACCTTACCTCTTGATGGAAGCAGTATAATACACATAAGTAATAAGGAAAGCAAAAGGCATATAACCACACCAACTATGATTTTTAGCCGGGTCTGCAGAAGAGAAACAAACAATAATTAATATTGTCTGAAGTTTGCTTCCATGGCTGGTAAATAATGAAATCCTCCTTCTCTCTAACTGCTGTAATCGGTCCTAGCAACAAGCAAAAACGTCCCTGCAGTACATATAAAAAGAATTCCCTTTCCTTCTTTAAAACAAATATTTCCACATCAGAGCCGGCCTTGTCTAACAGCTGACAGTTTAAAACAAAGGATGTAAATGCTACCAAAAGTGGAATTCAGGAGCATACAGACCTTCATTTTCCTGTCGTATTCTAAAAGAATGTAAATTCTCTCTTCTGGGTGTTGGTCAGTAGATCTGGGAGAGGAGTTCGAAAAGGCAGTGTCTGTTTTCACAGTTGGAGGCCAAACCTCTGGTAGACTTTTTTTTTCCTACATACTTTTGGAAACTGTGCCAAATTTCAAAGGCTTTCCATAAAATTGAAACCACGCTTCAGGGGAAGTTCTTGGACAAGAAACGGACAGTGGGAGGCTATCGGGGTGGTGATTATGTACTTCCCATCAATGTGAGCTGTAACCAACATCTGCTTACACTAACTTGAGGTTTTATGACTCATCAGATACTTGACATGCACTGTTTTTCTCTGAAAAGTACCTACTGTGTTTTTTGGCACTCCCCACATTCTCAGGACATAGTCATGACCGTATTTCTACTCTCTACAGAGAAATTAGAAGAAAATCCCATAGCTTTATTGCTTATGTGGTATTCACATATGTTTACTTTTAGAAATAATAAATGATGGCACAAGAATGCAAAACAAGCAGCAGAAACAGTACTGTTTAATGTCTTCCACATGTGAGGAGAATTGCTGTTCTCCCCTGAAAACTATGCACATCTATAGGCTACGCAGCAGAGCTTACAGAAGCAAATACATACAAGCCCAGCGGAAATTCTGAAATAGTTCTCCAACCGCCAATTACACCTATTTTATTTAGCCCACTGAAATGAGGTCAGCTGAAAACTGCGAAAACTGGAGACCGCAGCGTCAGGTTACATAATCCATCCTCCAGGAGAGCGGAGAAAGGCTGGAAAAAGGAAGGACAAGTCCGCCGCGCCCGGTCCCCGACGTTACCCACACGCCGCGGCTGCCGCGGAGCCCGGCCCGGCCCGGCCCGGCCTGAGGGAGCCGGCCCGAGGGAGCCGGCCCCGCCCCCGCGGCAGCGCGGCCCCACAGAGCCCGCACCGCGCCCCCTGGCGGCACGGCGCGCACACACACGGGCACGGGGACACGGGGCAGGGACACGGGGCAGGGACACGGGGACGGGGATACACACACGGGCACGGGGACGGGCACGGGGAAAGGGATACACACATAGGGATAGAGACACACACAGGAACAGGGACACGCTCACAGGGACGGGCACGGGGACAGCGACACACACAGGGACACGGGGACTGGGACACACACACGGGGACAGGGACACAGGGATAGGGACACACACAGGGACACGGACACAGACACAGGCACGGGGACGGGCACGGGGACAGGGACACACACAGGGACAGGGACACACCACACACACGGGGACATGGACACAAACGGGGACAGGAAAACATACAGTGACACACACACAGGGACAGGGACATACACATGGGGACATGGACACACACACACAGGGACATAATACACGTGCACATGGGCATACACACAATATAGACACATGCAGGGACACAGATGCGCACAAATGGACACACATATACATACACATATACATAGACACACACATAGACACACACACATATGCACACACACACACACACACACACGTGGGACATGTCAGCTGCCAAAGAAGGCCACCTTCTGACAGAATATTCACATAAAACTTAGGGCTGGTGGCTGGAAGTTGCAGGTTGGGCTTCAGTGTGTTCATTTTGCATGCAGAGTCTGATGGCTCACCTCACCTTTCTCCCTGCTGGGACAGAGTTCATTTCCTTCTGAGGAAAGGAGTCTGCAATGGTGATGCCTCTGTGTGAAAGTCAGGCACTGGGACTGATTTTTCAGAGGAGGTTAACAAGGACCAAGTACCCAGATCGTACTGAAATTCAGTAGTTGATGGGTTTACCAAATCCTCTGGCTTCTCTGAAAATTGAAAATCTAGTAGATGAGATAGGTTTTCTGTCACACCAAATTTTCCAGCAGAACTTGGGCTAACTATGAATTTATTTCAGAGTATCACAAAGAAAAAACATTTAATATATTACCCCTCAAGTGGCCAAGTTACTGCCTTAGCTTAACAGTATGGGTTGGAATTTGAATCCCAACTGTTACACCAGCCTTGGCGAGGCAGAACTGATCTGGGTAGTATTTTGGCAATATTCACTGCATTAGACTTGGAGAGAGAATTTTTGAAAATATTCAAATTTATCATGTGGAAAAATCAATGATATGAAATGTGCCTTATTTTCTCATAAAAATGCAGTTCCCCTCTCTCTGCAGTTCTTGTCACAACAATACATTCCAAGTTAAACAAGGAGAAGTTTCTGAATAAGATATATCCTGGTCGTGTAAGACATTCAGGACAAAAAGGCTGAGAAGGCTAAGATATATTGTTTACATATATATTTGTTTACACAATGTTTGTATATACATTTTTTGTATATACATTGTTCATGTATATTGTTTGTTATGCTAAAATACACTGTCTAATAAGGGCAGAATTCAGCTCAAAACCAGTGGTTTTCCTAACAAGATAAAACTGCAGCTACTCAAAATTTCCACAACAGAAAAGAATTGTGACAAAAGAATTTTCCCCTTGTAACTCATGCTTCATATTCGTATTTCCAAACTGCTACTTATTTCCTAGCATTCCATAGTTAATGCTGTTTGTATTTTCAATAACATGGTTCAGAAAAATACATTTTTTCCTACCAACATTGGTTATTTCTGACAACCAGAACAGCACAAAATTGCAAATGTAGGTTTTTGATCAGGCTATTTTTCCATTCCAAATATGCAGCTTCTTCTAATGAATGCATACTTAGAGAATGCTTCAAAGGAAATGATTCAATCTCACATGATCTAAAAGGCTTTACAAAATGACTTTATGCTGCATACTCTGTATTTGTCTACTTCAGGAATCACATTATTTAGGCATAAGTTTAAATAAGACCCACAATGGCTGCAGATTAGAAGAAAAAAAAATTACCTGTCAGAGAATGACATTTACAAGCTTTGTAGAACTGCTGCTGATGCCTAAACTCCCTTCTCTGGACTGTTCAGACTAGTACCAGGGAAGAAGCAAACAAATTCTTTCAACAGCCAAACTCTTCCTAACTTCTGCAACATAAGGAACCCATAATGTAAGAGAAATAAAAGTGTAAGAAAGGTAGAAAGAGGGTAAGTCACTTGGAGAAATGGACAAATTATGGAACAGAAAATACTCAGTTTGGCCAGCCGCTATCCAACCAGTTATGCAACTACTCAAAGGTTACTAAAGTATTTACTCTTCACACGTGAGGAAATGCAGATTTACAGATGTAGGCTGTGCATGACATCAGACCAAAAGGAGACAGCAATGAACATACAGCTGAGGTGTATCCAATTCTTAGCAGCCACACACACAGCTAGACAAATCCCCAAGGACTTTCTTCTTTCCACATTTGTGAACTAATAAAAGCTGTAAGTAGTAAGTACAATCAGGATTTGTCACACTCCCTGGAGGATGCTGGGTCCCTAAAGGCAATAAATGCAGAGCTAAGCAGAAGATAAAATACTGCAATTTACCTTCTTTTTTACAAATTCACACTTCCTGGATGGGCAATATGGGCGTGTTTTACAACCCCATTCAGAGAAAATAACCTGACTGGAAATTCGTTACCCTACACACCAGCAGGATTGATTAGAGGTTCATTATGCTTTATGCTGAAGTGAGATTGTGCAAACACTCTTTAAGCTTTGGTGACAATGCGGCAGAGTCACGCTAGGAACTGGGAGTGTAACAGCACCCAGGTGAACTGGAAGAAGCCCAGGTATGTATGTCACACAGGTCTGCAGCACATGTGCAGAAATTCATCTGCATATACTTTCGTTGCTTCAGTAAAGGGAAGTATAAAAAGCTCAGATTTCAGAAAATCTACTCAGCATGGAAATTTATTTGATTGAAGACCCAGCAGAAATCTATGAAATGATGTTGTATTTTTTACCAGTGTTTTACACTTATTTTAAAGTACTGAATAAACTAATTCAGATACTTGAAAATGCTATGTACAGTGTATTATATTGCATTTATTTACCTGTAACAACTCATTAATAAAGAAATCCAGAGATTACTCAGATGGTGAATGATATCTGGGTGACTTCCCACGAGGCTATTCTAATAATTAATTCAGTTGTAACAACAAATAAACCTTCCTTCCACTCTCCAATATCTTACTTGCAACGGGTGGGGGAGAGAAATCTGTCCATGACATAAATATTGAGAAACATTATGCTATTTTTACAGTGAGACTACTACCATCCTTTACATTTCTAGGGTGAAGCTATGTATTATTACTGTCTAAATACTTCCAGTGGAAGAGAATTAAGAGTATCACAGTTGGTAAACATTAGTTATAGCAATTTATTGAAAAAAAAATGCACACCTCATTATGTAGCCAGGCTAACAGTCCTATGAAACTGACACACAGAGAGTCACTTTGGCAATGTGCTTCTTGGACAACAAAATAATCAATTTCATGTTAAGGGCTTGATTTCTTGAAATGTCTTCTAAGGGAAACCTAATTTTAGTCTGTCAAAGTATATGAGCTTTCAGCTATATTCAGTTCAGTTCAGTCATGAAAACACTGATGTAGCAACAGCGATCCAGAAATAATGGGTGATATCTTCTTTACGTGGCTCCTCTTTTGAGATACTTTATCTTCAAAATGGTTACAGCATGAAGAAAAAAATTACCATGGTATATCTTAAGGTCTCTTTTCAATGTTCTGGGATTGACAATAGGTCATCTCACACACTTTTGACAGTGTTGTCATCCTGTAGTGAAAAGAGACAGGCATTTGTTCCATAAATACACATGACTGCAATGCATTTGCCATCTTTGTCCAGGAGTACAAATCTGAGTGCAGATAGCAGCTGTGTGACTTTGTTCTTCTCCTTTCTTGTTTCACTTTTTGTCTTCAAGACAGTTTCCTTATGTCCAGGAGCTTTCACAGTGCTTAAGATGCAGCATTCTCTATGGGACACAGGAGCTTCAAATCAACAGAGAGAAGTTGAAAAGGGCTTTTATTTTCATTCCAAATCCTTAATCTTCATCACTTGAAGGACAATGAGCTGTATAATCAAAACTAGGAAACCTGATGGGCAGGTCTCCCCATTTCTTAAAAATATTGTTTGTTGTTTTCTTGTCTTCTAACACAACCACAAAATTTCTGATTTTTAGACAAGGCAGGTCAAGACCTCGGTGAACCATCATATTTCCCCAAGCCTGCAAGTAGAAAGAAATTGCATTTCAGGTAAAATAAGACAAGATCATTAGACAGAAACAAATACAGACAACAAGAAGAGTATGAAAATAAGATGTTCCTCACTTGTCCACAGTCTTTGCATATAATTTCCCCATTAGTCTGGTAATCAGCATGCTTATCTTGCAATGCTTTATTTTCTCTTGTATGATAAAGACTTCTGAAAAAGAGACAGCACTCATCAGAATCCATTGGTCACTCCATGCTACATACAGATATATATAAACAGTGACTAAGATTGTTATAATTAGATATGAAACCTAAAAAGTCATAGACTCTCTGACTGTTTGAGAAAATACAAGGTCATGCTTCATACTCCTGAGTAATGATGAAATACACATGCACTCCATGTCCCTCTTCACTGCATTTCAGGAGCTGCATCCTCCATCATACATTTTGAAGAGGGAGCAGCAGGCTCTTGTTCTAATAACAGACATATCTAGCTTGTTTTTTCAGGAGCCATGGAACTGTCAATGAAATAATCACTCAAAATTAAAGGTTTTCTTTTTATTCCCTGTAGTTCAACCTTAACCCTTAACAAAATCATTTGGCTCTGACTACCCAGACCTGCAGAGTATGTATACATTCTTGAATCATTTATTTAGGGAGTACTGGATCCTGAAGGTTACTATTAGCCTGTGCAGAATGGAATACACACCATACTACATAGTAAGTGATCTAGTTAATAGTACCACAGAAGCTGCATCTTTTTTTTTTTAAGTCTTCAACTCAATCCACCTTGAAATCAGGAATAAGAACAAACATTTTGTTCAAGCTCCTTAACTATAAACTCCATAGAGCACAGGACCCAACAATATTGGAATAATCTATTTTTTTCTTACAGGGCCTAGAGGGTTACAGGCCCTGTTACAGCCTTGATGAAAAGAAAATCTGTTTCTGCCTGAAAGAGATAAAGCAGTTCATAAACACTTACTGGAAATCTTTTTTCACACTGACATGATGCATGTCTTCAATAACTTGTATGTCTTCTCCAGAACATATTGGCTTGGAGCAATTTTTGCATAAGAATTTTATTAGTGAAGGATTTTTCTTGTACGTCTTGCGCTGATCTCTCATCACCTTCATTTGTTTTTCCATTATACTTTGCAACTGGAAACTCTGAATCTAGAAACAGATCAGTAAGAGCACTGTAACATTCTGCTGGAATGACAGTTATAGTTTTCTTTCTCAGTTGTTTTACTGAGTTCACTGTCAACATGACTTCTAGTCAATTTTCTCTTGCTTGTGTTTTTTCCCCTTACCAATAGAAAACCAGACTTTTCTAAAGGACAAGAAAACAGATTATAAAACAAATATTGGCAAAAGAATTCAAAGCCATATGTAGTAACTCATATTATTTCAAGTTTTTCTCCTCTAAGTAGATTTCAAATAGAAAGTATTCCATGCAATATAAATCAGTATTCATTAAAGGGAAAGTGCAGAGTTGCAGTGAATACCTTATTTAAATACTCTTCCTGTGGCATCTTCTGGACACGCTGAATGGCCTTATACATCATTTTCTCACGAAAAATATTAACATTTTCACGTTCAACAGCCCCTGAGCCACTTGAAACCACAAGAGCATAGGTGCTTTCATCAGCTCGAGCTCTACCACGAGCCTACAATTTGCAAGGAACACAAAAATAAACAAAACACAAAAATAAACGTCACACAACAATTTTTCCTAGTTTTGTAATGGAAGACATGCACTATTCCATATGCACTATTTCCAAAGTGCAGTTTTTTCCATTTAATTCAGACAGATAAAGAATCAGTGACTAACACATACTATTTCTGCAGTATCATCCATGATACCTGTGAGAACTGCTCAGGAGATTTGTGATTAGCAATGTTTTGCAATGTCAAAACTATATTTTGTTGCCAAAATATAAGCATGCATTTGAATATTAAATATATAAATATTTGTGTTCACAAGTTAAATGAGGGCATGTGTCAAACTGGTATTCTGATATGTAATAATCTCTATTTAGCTGATGATAGTGTGGTGTCCATACGCCGGTGGTAAAAATGGCTCTTGCATCAATTGGTCTGATGACCATATTCTTGTATCTCTTCTATTAAATAAGCTTAATGTTTGTGTAGAACTTTGAACTGATGCTACACCATTACAGAGAGAGGCAAATTTTATACTGCATACAGACTGAGGATGGAAATTGGAAATGAACATTGTTGCAAGAACACTTTCTCTTTTAGCATTCAAGCATTTAAAAATTATTTCCAAACACCAGGTATATGATTCACCATTTGCCCATTGCAAAAAGAAAAGCGTTATTAAAATAAGTTATGTATGCAGAAAACTCATACCTGCACCATAGCAATTTCATTGGTGACCAGCCCATAGCGAATAACAATGTTACACTCTTTGATGTCCAGGCCTTCCTCAGCTACAGTAGTAGCAATTAGTAAATTTATATTTCCACATCGAAATTTATCAATAACTTCCCTTTGCTCATTCTGTAAATTAAAATAATTCAATTAACTTTCAGAATTAGTTTCTGTTACCGGTTTCTTCTAATTAATAAGTTTCAGGAATTAAAATCCCATAATTTCTCAGCTGAGTACCAAACATCCAAGCGGCCTTAACAACTGCATTTAAGCATCTTGCAAAAGAAGGAGTTTCTATTGAATACAACATGAGTTCAGCACTGTATTTTGAGGGAGGAGGGAGCAGAAGACAATCCTTTTATGGTAACTGGGCTTGGAACTTCGTAGCCTGTGTCACAGGAACTAGGAGATTTGATAATACAGTTGTTCTATTGTTTTCGAATTTTTAAGTACTTATAAGATGGGATTTCTATCACTTCAGTAATTTCTGATTAAAATACAGACTTCCAGCTCTAGCTCTAAAGCACTTAAAATTCCCCATAATAAATGGAGAATATAACTCTGTTGATCTCGTAGCACCAAAAAGAACAACAATGATACACTTAAAAAGAAAAGATCTAAATCACAGACATCTGAATCAACTGGGTGTTTGTTACCAGCTTGAGCAGAGGAACAGAAACTTGCTATCTGCTATATTCAGTTTCAAAATGCAAAAGCTATTGTTTTGTCTGTGCAATGTGCCACAGAAACGAAATTCCAAGTTTGATAGAACTCAAGCAACTTTTTGAGAGAATTTTTCCTTGAAACTCCGGGCAGCAGAAGAAAATGGACTGTGCCCAGCAGCAAAACACACCATTTTTGTTTAAATGCTGATATGGGGAGTAAAGACCAGAACAGAAGAGACACGAAGTACTTTGATTTGAAAATGTTTTAAGTGAAGGTATAAATTGCCAGAGAGATGTGGTGTATGAAATCAACGTAATGGTACAAGATGGACACAACTGAGTGATCAATTGTGATATTTTCGGTATGAATTTTGGCAAGTTTTCTTTCAATGGTTATGTGTCAGTGTGAGGCACGCATAGAAATTGGTGTAATTTGATTTAATGAATGATATTACAAAAATACAGGAATAATCACCTTTGTTGTTTTATTTTTCAATTCAGCAGCTAAAATATAACGTGAATTACTGTTGTCCTGATAAGCATAAACTCATTTAATTGCATTTCTGCTCTTTCCATTTTGTTTACTTTTGCTTCCCATACCTTGCTACAGCTTGGGTCCTTTTTGACTATACACTACTCTAGGCAACGGATGCTGGCTACTCCTATTGCCATAGAATCCAAAACCAAAAAAGCTTGTTACTTATGGAAATAAAATTATTCCAACATTATTATTCACATATCTTTATGAAGTTAAGTTGCTGGCAAGTATGAAACCAGAACTCTGGGCTCCGAACTTCAGTTCACTGGCCTAGTACTAAGACAACCTGTTTTCCAAAATCATGTACAAGAGGTAATGTTGACATGCATGGTTTTATACCTGAGTCATGGGCTTCATTTCACTCTTGCTTCCAGAGCCGATAAGATAATGGGCCTTAATTCCCACTTCTTCAAATTTTGGGTTGTCCTTAATCCACTGGGAAAGAGCTAAGGCACTTAGACGAGTCTTTGTGAAAATGATTCCTCGAGGTTCCTCAGTCTTTGTGAACTCCTCCATTAAAGTATTTCTCAACTCCATTAGCTTCTCATTTTCATTTTCTGGGTTTTTAGTCAACTCTTTCAGCTGTTTCTTTTTTGCTTTAAAAAGCACAGATGTAAATTAAGAAAATGTAGCCATGTAAAACAACAGTTTAAAACAAAATAAACCCCAAAACCCACAAAGAAAAGAGCAATTTTCTATATAATTCTCCCAACAGGGCTAACTCACATTCAGTTTGAAGAGCTGGGACATACCAATTATTTCTGAAGTCAGTTTATAGTCACTAAAAACATACTAATCAACAAAACTAAATCACCATTATCATACACTTTGCCTATATTTCATGTAAGAATAAGTCAAAGGAAAAAACCTGCCTGTACACACTAAGTTGGTACAGAGTCAAACGCACTGTAATAAAGAGCTAAGTCACAGCTTATGATACCTACAAAACTATTTCAAAATCACAGAAAAAAAGTCTTACAAGGAGAAACAGATTAATATGTACAGCCTTGGAGCTGGTAATGGTTTGATAAATTCAGACATAAATTGTCCATGGGACATGAATTAAAGTAGGAATCCTCACTAGAAACATGCAGTACAGTAGTCACCAGCATGGGCATGTTGTTATTGATATTGCAGCTCCAAGACACTTCAATGCACTCAGCGAACTGTTAAATTAATGATTCTCTTAAATTGTCTCTATTGACCAGAAGGAGGGAGGATTTCTCATGTGTTTTAAATTTTTAAAAAACTTCTATTTAAAAACCTATGTTATTACCAGATGATTATGCAAACACAAGAACACCCCAAAGCAAGGACTTTGTACACTCTGGTGTCATGACCCTGTGCAGACTATTGCAGTGTACCTAATCCAAGGCAGTCATAGTCAATACACCACAAACTGCTACTCCACCTAAACAGCGACTTTATGACTATCTTATTCATATTTTAGAATGTAATCAAACATAGAAACACATACAAAAAGTAGATAAACGTAACAAACTCTCACAGTTTTCCACCTTAGTTAAATCTACACTAAGGGCCCCAGGGTGCTTATCACCCAAAAATGAATTCTGCTCTCAAAACTGAGAAATTTTAGATTTTCTTCTAATACTCCTAGCACTTTCAGTGGTAAAATCCTAACAAAATGGAATTTATTTTTCATTGACAGGTTCTTTGGACTTCACTAACCTGCAGAAATAAAAGCAACCAGAAATTATACTAACGAATCTGAGTTTTATTTTTAGTTGGTTCAAATTTTTGGTTCTCAGCAACAGCTCACTACTGAAAATCTAAACAAGGGGGAATGGACATGTATGAAGAGTCATTAAAACCATGCTGACATTAATTTAACTTATAGTTTTCATTCTTTTTTTTTTTAATTTCTCAATGATAGTGAGAAAAATTTGTAGTTCATTGGATACATGAAACTGGGTCACATTCTGCAGTATAATCTAATTTTGTTTGTACCACCCAAGAGCCATGGGTGATGGGGACAAACTTGTCTAGCTCTTTCTCCTTGCAAAGGCAGTAAAGGAAAAAAACTGAGTAAAAAAGATTCATGAATGAATCCTAGTTCCAAGGTAACTGAAAAAAAAGCAACTAACTTTGGTCTTTGCAGTTTGATCTTTTGTTTAATTTTTTAACTAAATGTTCTTTACCTGAAACTAATTTAAAGTCAGCATTCTCCTTTCTTAGCATATAGACAAACAAACTTTGGCAGAAAGGGTTGGTTAAGAACTCATTATTGCATTACTTTTGTATTCTATTTGCTCAGCCTTTTGTCCCCTAAGAGTGTCTACTGAAATATGTATTTTATGTATCTGTTAAGAGCGTCCTCAGGGACGCTTCACTGGATAAAAGTAGAAAACAGCTTTTACTAACTGGCAGCAAAAACAAAGGTGCCTTTAGCTGGGAGCTGAAGAACCATTACTACATATTATGACATGAGCCCACTAAGATGTTGTTTAATGCATTCAAAAATATGAAGTGGGATATCAAGGCACTGTGATAACAAACAACACAGCAGTTTCTAGGATGCAATAACTATTGCACCCATGCAAACCATGTTAGTGCACAATTATGGATTTGAAATATTAAATATCACAATGTATTTCAAACTCACCATGAAATAAACCTATTAGAAATTCATCTGTTTCATCCTGTTTTGATACTGCTGGTTCACCATCATCATCATCACCATCGTCATCACTCCTTACTGTCTTCTTACTTTTCTCCTCTTTATAGAAGTTATTTAGGTGATTGTAGGCATCCACCATTCGGATGGTGTCATTTATCTGGAGAGCATCGTTGTATTTCTTCAAGTGCTCTGCACAGACACGTTCCCTGCGTTTTTCTTCTTTTGCAGCTAGAAGGGAACAAAAATACAAAAAAAGTCTTAGTACCGAACGACGCAAAGAAATCCAAAGCTGGGGTATATTTGCTATGCAGTTACCTCTTCTCTCTTCTCTGATCACCCACTGTTCATATGTCTGAGTTCCAAACTCAGAGTTCGGATGCAGCTGGCAATAGTTTTGTATTTCTGTCATGATCTCGGTAATTCTCTCTTTAAATGGATCCTAGAAATAAATTGATCAGGCAAAGTAAGTAAGTACTTTCTGGTAATGAAAACATTGGCTAGTACCACACTGAGTAATTTTTTAAAAAACTTAAACCTTAAATTAAAGAAGTAAGGCTGTTAAGTGTTTATTGATATGGAAATATACAGTTTAGAATATTACAAAAATTATACTGAGAAACAGCACTTTAAAAAAAAAATGGAATATATCATCACATCAATACTAATATTTCAGCTTTAGAAGGCCTTTTGACCAGATAACTCAAAATATAACTGACGTAAGTAAAAATGTAATTTTATTTGACTTTACTGACGCATTTTGAAACAGAGGAAAGCAACAATATTCAAATTAGCACTCTGGATCATCACAAGTCTATAGAAAAATAGTATTAGGCAAAAGTTTTTGATACTGTACAAGACATTTTTAAAGGGAAATATAACTTTAATACTGATTTTTTTGAAAAAACATACCCTTTTTTTGTCATCTGCAATCACAGTCTTCTTAGATGGTTCCTTCACCTGATTCTTTAGCTGGGAGGCATGCTCTTCAACAGTCATAATTCTACATGCATCCAGATTGGCACAGATCTGGGAGAAAACAGAATGTTATTTCTTTAATATTGAATGAGTTATTTCACATGAAAACTGAATTAATGCAACAGAGCTTCTTGTTTAGATATTGAGGTTTATATAACTTGACTTTCTTCCCACAGAAACTGGATAAAGGCAGTATCAGCACAAGAAAAGTCCAAGTCTTTGAAAAACATTGGAGATAAGCTGCACAAGTTACTTTTTAGGCCAGAAGTGATCCTAGCATACAGGAAAAAAATTGTAGATCAGGATGCAAACCAAGTATTTTGAGAAGGAAAATATAGCATTAGTACTTTGGAAGAATAGATTTTGGAGCACAAAATAAATAAAAATAATGGTGAAATAAAAAAAAAAAAGAAAATAAATATTAGGGATTAATTATAAATGTAAGGGCTGTTGTGAGAGTACAAAATAATTTGAGACAATCTTTACTGCAACAGGAAGACATAGAGAGAATTTCTGTGCGAAGTGCACAACTGAACTGGACTTTCCTGCTTTTGACCTCTTCCAAGGAGAAAATATGTACTTGTCATTAAGCAAGAAGGGAAACCATAACATTATTCTGAGCAAAGAAAACAGTAAGAAGACTGATAGGTGATCTTTTTAATGTCTTCAGTGGTAGTTGTATATTTCAGCTTGCATATTCAGATTAATCTTCAGATACAAATCCCAGAATCCTATCACTAGGAATTCAGAGCTGATGAAAAGGAATTTTCTGTTTTTTTCTGCCAGCAAGTTTCTGCCTCAAAATTCTGTCTACTTCAATACAGCATAAAAAATTCTTGCAGGCCTCACTTATTCAATACCACATTCTGTTCTGGTACAATTTACCAGTCAGGAGTTTTCACTGCCGTACTGGGCTAAATTCTACTCTATTACTAATGCAAAACCATTTAATTTCAAGTAAAATATAGTTTCTTTAAGTATAGAATTTAACAGACTATCTTTAGTCAGGTGTTCATGCAACCTCAGTGAGTAACTGAAAAAAACAAAACACATTTGTATGCTACCTGTATCTCACAAGTGGTTTCTGCTTTGTTTAAGTATTCAACATTGTTTTTCCATTTTTCAGACTCACAAAAATGCTCATCTTAGTCACCTAGAAATACAGATTTAAAATACATTGTGTCCCTAGTATTTAGGGATACACAGTAAATTAAAAGCCACCAATTGAACAATAAGACTTTCAGTAACCATAAAACTGTACTACATTGTGGATTTCTTGCCTCTGATCTTAACTTGGGAATTTTTTTCAAGTGAGGCAATCATTTAACTTCCCTTTTCAGTAACCCTACTCCTCCTGTAAAGTAACCTTTATTTGTATCTACGTTTCCATTATTTTTTAATTGTTATGAGCTGAACTTCCATGTACACAAGGAAAAAAAAATCAGATTGTCTATTTGGAGCCTAAAACTGACTTTAAAAGTTTTACTTGAACAAGACAATATCCCTTTGATGGTTTGTAAGTGTTAGGGCTATTTACTTTCAGAATATGCTCTTCAGCTTTTGAGTAGGATGTTGCACCTCCTACACCAGGTGAGGCTGTAAGTCCCAGAATCTGAGGCTGTGGGATCAGTGGTTTGTTTTCTTTTGCCAGCTTCCTGTTCTTCATCTTTTCTTTTAAGTAACGTCTCATTATATTATTGTAGACACCTTCCTTTTGAGTGTGATGACACTCATCAATGATGATGAGGGAAAAATCTGGAAAAAAAGAAAACGACTCCTGAAGTGAATAATTCTACTTCAAATGCAGAATTTTTGTGACTAAATCTTGTAACAGGTAAGAATGGTTCTGAAAAGAACCCATCAGTTTGTCTGAGAACTAATGGACTAGGAAATTGAAGTACTGGAGGAAGGCATGGGTGGATGCTGAATATATTTAATGGACTTTGGAACTTTTGCCACAGTCCTGATGTGCCAAGTAGTTTTACATTTCATGTAATGTAAAAAAAAGACTTTCTATTTTTGCAAAAACGATCTGATTATATAAAGAATTTCAGAGAAATATTTTTCTTATCTTACCAGTGGTAAGAACATATCATAGTTGAACTCAATACTACCTTTTATATCCATAACTGTGTCTGATAAACTACATATTGTTTGCTTTTCAGAAGATACATAATATGTTAGAAGACTTTCAGACATTCTTGAAAGGCTTGTTGTGGTCAAAATATGCTTCCATTTTGTAGCAACACAGAGATTTCCTCCCTATTAGTGTCCAGTTAAAAGATTTATATTACTTTATGGATGTGTTATTGGAATGAACAAACAGATTAGTGGGACTAGCACTCATCTCTCTCTTGTAAAGGAGGAAACTGATGGAAATTCACACAGGTATAATGTGCTTTTTGGTTCACAGTATATTTACATGCAAACAATACACTATACAACAAAGAAAAATAAAATTATTTTTTGTTTCAAATTTCTCAAAAGATATAGAAAACATATCTTTAATCTTTCTGCACATGCAGCCAGTGACATATGTTTCAAGGTTCTGAGATGAAAGATTCATGAAGATTTTTCTGTTTTTCTAGCAGCAAAAATGGTTTATGGAGCTCCCAGTCCTGTAGCTGGCCAGTAACTCTCTAATTTTATATTGTTTCCAACAACAGTGGACATGACTGTAAAGAAGACCACTGAAATGATCAGGGTTAAACATTTACACGTATTTTTTTATGTGGACAATTTCCATGGTCTTGTTTACACATTGATGTGTAAACATATTGATGTGCTCAAATTGTTGCACCACTACAAGTCAGTTTTCAACAACTGGCAGCAGAAGTTGGAAATTAACAGAGAGCTAAATCAGACTCAGCTGGTATTGAAGAACCTAGAGAAGGATGGAGACTAAACAAGGGAAGTTACATTGGAAAGGCTACACCAAACACTTCTGCTAGGAAAGTAAGCCAATGCTCCATGTCACTGGGGAAAGCTGATTCCCTTCACAGTGGTTCGGGAAGCCAGTTTGGGCAGGAGTGATGTAGTTTCAAACCTAAATTCTTATTTATTTCCAAGATTTCTACACATTGCAAGATTTCCGAAGCAGTGCTGGCAGTTTCTCAGTTATTCTGCCAACATGAACTTACTGCCTCTGATTTTGACCATCATCTCCACCACGCATATTCTATAACTACTTGTGTAGAAACTAGCCTACCAGAAGGGATGTGTTTCTTCTACTAAGGAAGAGATACACAGCTTTTAAAAGGTCCATACAGTGATTTCAGCCCTTGGTAAAGAGAGAAAACATTTGATAAAATGCAAATAAGAGAGTCCTCTCCATTTCACTGAGGCTGAAATTCCCTATTACATGTAATGCAGATCTGTGGAAACAGATGAAAAAAGTACACGGAAAAATCTGGAAAAAAACTTGTAACTAATTAGGATGATTTATAAAGGCTGTGAGTTAACCAAATCACAGCTATAGAAATGGAGCTGGCTGTGTTCATGCTTGCTTGGCTTTGGTCCAGCTGAACCTACGAGCACAGGTGTAACAGCACGGAAAAAACCCCTGAGGTGCAGGGCAGCCTGAGTTCTGGAAAAATGTAGCTCCTTATGAAGGAAACTTCACAAAGTGTGAAACCCATTCAACCCACTTCATTACACAATCTGGTTGGGACTCAGCCCAATTCTAAACAGGCCAGCAGTTCCAGTAGAAATGTTCAGATACCTCCATACAGCATTCCAAAATGACTCAGATGTAGGAAAGTTTATTAACTTAGATGCAGTGGAGAGGAAATAAGTATAAAAAAATTGCTGGTACTTTGCCTAGGTTAATAACAAGGCATTCTGAAGGGGGGGAATGCAATTCTGAAGTACCCAAGTGGCTCTATAAGAGTTAGTTTGGAACCAGCAGTACTCCAGTCAGTACCAGGCACTGACAGACAGAGACCAGCCCCTCAGGTTTCTCTGCTGTGACACCCAGACCAATGCTTTTATCTCAGGGCCATTATTTTGAATATCACAGCTCTGCCCTACATCCTCCAGCATCTAACATCTCACAGAGGAAGGTCACTGCAGCCCAGGCCCGGGAGCTAACCTCATGGGCTGTTCTAATTGTACCTCACTGAGAGATAATACCATTTCCTTTCTGATCTCCCAGAGATGCCTGCCACTACAGCATTCTGGGAAAACAGTATTGCCTTCTTTATCTTTTGCTTTCTTCAACTTCCTTCATGTGTTGCAGGAAACCATTATATCTGCTGAGCTCAGAGAGACACAGTTATAAGCCATCATATCACTGTATATTAGCAAAATCACAGGAGTTTAAAGAATATAACTTTTACAACAGATTGGCTTTTACCTTGTGTTCCATTGTACTTCTCAAACTACCAAGTGCATTTGAGTTTTGATAGTTTTTTTTCTCATCCTGTATATGGCTTCTATGAGATATGACTCAATGCTCTACCAAGCTTGGAAAGTGGAACCATGTGCACAAAGTTGTGCTTAAGAATTTATTTAGATAAAATAGGAAGCATGACAAGTATTTAGTACAAATAAACTACAGAGCCTAATTTTGGCCCGCATGCTTGTTAATTGAGATCTGATTTTGACTACAGCTTGTATTTATAAAATGAGTAAATTGGAAAAAAAACCTACTGAATGTGGCACATTTTTACTCTGCAATTTTTCAGAATAGAGACATACTTTTATACCCTGTGTAAAAATTTAAGAATAAAATACTTGCCTGATAAGTGGACACTTTCTTCATCTTCCTTGGATGCATTTAACAGTGAATTCTCAAGGATCTGTGCTGTACTGATGATGACATCATTTCTTCTGACAACTTCAGGAAATGAGATTTTCAGCTGAGAATCACCACTTAAACCAATAACCTGATACCAGCGCTTCAGGAATGGACTAAACTCAGTTTTTAAATGCTGTTCTACCAATGGAACCTGAACAAAAGTTTTCAAAGAATTTAAAACATATTAAACACAGGATTAAAAATACATGCCTGTTTGCCACAAATGTTGTTAGATAAACAAAAGAAAAGTAAGCAGCAAAAATCCCCAAACCAACTTTCCCCTGCAACTTCTCCTGTAAAACCTTTTTGTCCCAAGAACTTTGGCTTAACTGAACCTTTGAAAGAATGAACAAACCATGCATGCTCTGGCTATTTAACTGAGCTTATAAAGTGCTTTCACATTTATAAGAGGATATGGATATTTTTTATAATTTAAATAAAATTCTTTAATGTATTTCTATATTTTAATATTACAATTTAATATTAATTTATATGTGCTAAATTTAACTGCAAAAATTAAAGCAATTATCAGAAAATCTGAAAAAATGTTCCTTAACTACTGTGAGACTCACTAGGTGGCCTTCATTAACAAATTGAAACACAGAATACAAAAAATATTTTTATTTTTCAAAATTCATTACAAAATGAAATTGTACTTTTCCCAATAATGTGGTTATTACAGCACATCTAAATTTGTACTTGCACTGGGGTACACTAACCTAATTTGTGCATGCACAAGGCTGATGGTGCAATGGAGATGATAGTCTAGGTCTGTATGCCTTTAAACACAATACACCTGGGGAAGCTGAGAATTGTGTCTATATTAATTTTAAATGTTTGTATTAACAATGCATGATATTTGAAAAATACTATTCTTTACAAAAATTTACCTTATTAACAAGTACTATGACTTTTCCAGGCTCTGATGCTCTTTTCTTCTTATCCAAGTGATCTTTGGTAATGTAAACAGCCACTCTGGTTTTACCACTGCCTGTAGGGAGACATATGATAATATTCTCCCCATTCAATGCTGGCTTTGCAACTTCCATCTGGTAATCTCTCAGGGTCAGATCTGGCTCAGGTGAGGCTCTCCTCTCCACTTCATCTTCATCTAAGGGTACAACGAAATATAAGTTTCAAACAGGAGGCACAGAACATGTATCAGAGGAGTGAAAAAATATCAAAGGGAAAAATATTAATTTACTATCAGAAGTATGTTGTGAATAGAAACAGCACACTAGCACAGACAATGTTGCTCTGAGGACCTGTGCAGCTCTGGATCAGACCTGCTTCCATCCAGTCAGCACTCAGGGCAGGTGGAATAAGCCACAGTACAGTTTCACCCATCTATGTTGAAATGACTATTAGGTATAACTTCAGATGATACAGTTCAGTAGCACTGGGACCAACAAAGGTTGTGTTTGGAGCTGCAGTATTTATAACCTAGCCAAGCTTCTGTGACATTCTCCTTTATCAATACTGAAATGTATTTGGTTACAAGGGAGTTACCTTTTTAAATATTTCCCAGAGAATGAAAAATTGAGCCATAGAAAGAAAAAAAATACATGGAACACTTCAAAATGGTTAAGGGAGTTATAAAGTATATAGACCAAATAGATCAGAAAATTCAATTGCCCACACAAGATGGAGCTAACTGCAGAATGTATCACACCTACTCATGGTAGATTACATTGCTTCTTAGCCTGACACACACATAATGCAATTGGATGTTCATTAGAAAGCCATATACATTTGCCACCTAAGGCCAAAGCCTTCCACCTCTTATTGGAAATGCAATGGTAGAGTTTAGATCCATGGCTCGCAGAAGAAACAAACAATGCTCTAAATGTAAAAGTGAAAAAAAATACTGTTGAATTATTTTGAGTAGTAAGAAAAGCATATAAAATCTCTTGAGTTTACATATATTTAGGAAGTCGGAATTTATATTTTTATATATATATATCTATATATATATATATATATATATAAACATCAGAAGGATTTATTTCAATTGACTTTTCATGGTTTTTTTTTTCCCCTACAAATAAGTTTAGATCACTCTTCAAGTATTAACTGCCCTCAGTGAAGAAAATAAACAAATTCATTCTACTAGATTAAAAATGAGGGGAGAAAAACCCTAGCTTTGTTTCCTGATGGTATCATTCAATGCAGAATCATGAGAATTTTATTATCACTGATACATTACCCACAAAGTAAGTATATTTTTCTAGTATTCCTGATTCCATTAAATAAAATTAAACTAACAAAAAGTAATGAAGCTTGATAAAACACTGCTGATGGAAACATCTGAATGCCATTCTAAAGTGTTTTTTGCTTGTTTTGCCTTTTAGTGTGAGTGCAGTGCTACCTGGACACAGGGACATTTGCACCAGAGAGTACTTGCTGTTACTTATCTGACTTCTACTGCTCTCTTTTGAGGAAGAACATTGTTTGCTTTCTGGTTGGCTAAATTCAATAGCTCAATCATACTGAAACTAGCACTTTATCACCCATCTGTTTGGTTAAATTTCAGTTCCTTAACATCCTCATTTAACAGTCCAGGCCTGAAAAATATTTAACTTAGCTCTCTCCTAGCTTCTTCAGTCCTTGTTTAGATAAAGGCTAATACAGGAATCTTTTCACAGATTAAAGAATTAAATACTTAAAGATTTTTCACCATGCACAATGTAGCATTAGGGAAGTTGTCTGCCTTCATACAAGGGCTAAAAGAATGGCTATAATGATAATTATTCTATTGTCCTAACTACGCAATTTTATAAAGTGTGAAATGAACCTTGCACATAAAAATGCAGCTGAATCCACATGATTCTTTGCATTAAAATCCAAATCATGTCAGTATATAATGACACCATCCAAACATCTTTGTTAATATAACAGCCTTACTGTAACATTTCAAATTATAAAATCCATTAATAGTGCATCTGCATGTTCTTAGTAATTTTTTCTCATTATTGCTCTCACTGAGTTTACTAGACATGCTTAAAAAGCATGGATGTTTTAAAAAACTTTTTAACTAATCCCCTAGTTACTTTTTAACATCCCTTCTGTTTTTAAAAGTCACATGTATACAGAATATATAGCAAGTAAACGGTGTGAAACAATCTGTTCTCCATTTTCACAAAACTGCAGTGCTTTGGTTTTTTCTGGATTACTGGACACAGCGAATGCCCAATTTACTTACTGAGAGATATTTCAGGAATCTTAAAGGATAAGGCCCTCATACATACATAAGCGCTGCCAAATGTCACGAGCCTGGCTCAGCCTGAGCAATGGATACAGCGTGTCCGCCTGTATCCTGTACAGAGAAGTTCCCATGGCCAGACATTGCATGTGACAGAGTGAGTCAAAAAATACAATGTGACTGATGAATGTCCTCAGTTGCTAAAGAAGTGCAAAGTAAATTCTCTGGAGTTAGCAACACACAGACTAAAATCTCAGCTGCAGAGTAGCAATTTATATCTGAGCTATCCTGAATTTTCTGTGTACTTACAAATATGTGGATTTTAATACTTGAAAGCCTGAAACTATTTTAGAAGTATTTATAACAAACACTTTGCAGGCACAGGATATATAACATTTACAGTGACCTTACTGATGTAATACTAGGTTTATTAGGCCAAGCTGGCTTGAAAGGCGTTCAGAGTCTTTTCTAGCCCTTGTACAAGACATAGTCCCAGCACAAATGTTATAAAGGCTAGATTCCAAAAAGTGGTTCTTGAACTCTGTATAGGTAAACAGGCTGATCATCATGGTGGACAGCTCACAATTTCTTTTGCCTGAGGTTTGAAAAAAAAAGAAAAAAAAAAGACAACTGGGATGTCTTTTACAACAGCAGTGTATAGTTTCGCTCAGACTTCATACATAGCAAGACAATACCTGTCTGCAAAGTATAATTTAAACACAGTCCAATATCTAGTTTAAAACTGTATTTGGAACATGCACATGTGCTTAAATGTGAGATTCACAAAGATCTTCAGATAGCAACCCACATTTCTCAGGCTACTTTTACAAATAGGGATACTAAAGTACTTGGGTCCAAAGTGGACCTTCATTATTGTTCTGCAGGTACCCAGGAGATGCTTCTGCTCACCTTTCGCTGCCTCTAAAACATTCCCATTCCCTCTCACCCTGTGTGGGGGCCAGGCACAATCTAGCTCCTCTCTGAGAGCAAAAGAAACACGTCTGCATTATGAATATCTGTCCAGGTGACTGCACTGGATGACTTCAAGTCCCTTCAGCCTATGTGATTTCATCATTCTGCCTCACTGACCAGTTTGTAACATGATGATGACTAGGGCCCTGTTCAGATGATCTCAGTAAATTGACTGTTTTGGGGCTAGGACTTAGGTCCAGACCATTACCAGATGATCCCGACCTAAAATGCCCAAAATGGCATCCGTTTTCCAACAAAGTAAGAGTAAGTCTGGCATCTAAATATAGTGAACTAGAGTTTACAGTGAAAGAAAGCCCTTCATTTTAGCCCACTCATAGAGTACTTCCCCCAGAGCTTACATTGCAATTACTAAATAATAACAGAAGGAAAATGTACCTGAATCACTGGTTGTGCAACTCTGTTCCAGGTTTTCATTCAAGTTACTGACACTTCCATCTCCTATGGAGACATCTGACTCTAAATGAAAAGCACAAAAAAATGTAGCATAATATATTTGCTGTACAAATATTAATGGCAAATGCATATTGTTTGCTCTCTCTCTAAGCTGTTAAAGTAGGGTAGGTGAATGTCAGGCGGGGATGGCTGAGATCTAATTTTCTTTATTTTTGGTAGAGATTAACAAAATGAACAATATAACTCATTTTCTTATGGAAGGAAATATGGAGTGGAAGATTAATATCCAAAGCATGGCAGAGGTAAGGCACTATGGGTCACGATTTATTGCCTAAAACCAGGGGTTCCAGACATCACCACCTGCATAATCCCCTTTAGTCCTATTTTACCGTATCTTTCCAGAAAGGTGAAAAGCCAAAAAAAATTAAAGTTGCTGGCAAACAGAACATTCTCTTCTACTCACTGCAAGCCCTGAGACCTACATCTGTAGCAGAAAAACAAAACCAGAACTGTGATTTTTAATTTTTTATTAAAGTTTCCTGGTATGAAAAGCGCAAAGCGCAGCTCCCGACTGAACGCAGGCGGCGGCGAGCCCCGCGCAATCCCCGCGCTCCGCTCGCCCTCTGCCGGGCCGGGCGCGCCTCACACGCGCTCCTCCAGCCGCACTTGCCAAAACCCAGCCCCTCCAGCATCCAAGGAGAGAGATAGACCCAGCTCTTCCGGGAAAATCTGCTGCGAACAGCACCGCCCTGAGCTGTCAGCCTGCCGACAGCGCTCTGCAACCGAGCCCACAGCGTGCAATAATAGTGCTGACCAGTGTTTTGCTTAATTAGCTGGTGAGCTTGTTTCCATCGAGTTCTTTCCAGTGAATATCCTATTGTAATATAGGATATCCTGTATCCTAATATACATATTTTTCGCAATTTACTGTCCCCCAAAAAATTATTAATGAAGTAAAATAGATTCTGTTCTGAATGAGAATTTAGCACTGAATGGAAGATACAGCGTCCTAGAAAGAAATGCCTACAATATACACTATAAAGTCCTGGTGAGAGAGGTTGAAATTGAACCTAGTCTGCATTCAGTAAAATTATGAAGCTATCTTAGCTACCACTAGGAGTCAGGTATTAGCAGTTTTTCTAACAAACGAATGCAATCAACAGAAAGGCACAAAAAAGAAGAAAACCTCAGCAGTTGCAAGCCACGTTCAAAGGCCTGTGACAAACTAATTAGTAGCATTAGTAGGAACTCCCAGCTATGAAGATGACACCGCGATCTCTTGCTTTCACTTTCCAGGAATCCACATAAAATAGGGAAGAGAGGACAAAATTAAAATTCTGTGTATCTATTCCGTACGGTCTCCTATCTAAAATGACTTTCTGAAAGTCCTGAGAATATGGATCCATAAAGTGTTTTGTACACAATTATCTGAATTACAATGTGCAGCATGCATTATACAACAAGCTCTCAACAGAAAACATCAGTGGTGACATGAAATGCAAAATACTCATCTTCCAAAGAAAGGTGAATAGAACAACGTTCTCCTTTTTCAACTGTGGCAACTAACTTGAATTATTTTAAAATAAAATAAATTTAAAAAAAAAACAAACCAGTAAGCATTTCACAAATAATGAAGATAAAAGAGTTAACAGCTATTTTTACCACTTCTGCTAATCTTCCCTTAGAGTCATGTTTGCACATTGAAATGCGGAATTTCACAGGAAGATTTCACAGGAAGATTTTCAGTCACTTTACACTGAGTACTAAATAAGTAGAGAGACAATGGAATGGAATGCAATGACAAGCAAGCCTTGAAAAAGAGAGCTGCTATTATTTAAATTGTTGTTTATATAGGTAACTGTAGCAACGTAATCCGTGTTGACCTTGCGAACTTGCTGTAGTGTAATTTTGCATGTGAAGTTTCTCATCTGTGTTTTTGCATGCTCAATTTTTCTCTAGTTATCTCTTAGGCTAAATGATCTACTTCTACTTGTTTTTATGGCCTTACTGCTCTCATACCTTCTGACTGTCTCTGTTTCATCTACCTAAATAAAAGGGTCAGAGGAAGCTCCAGATACAATGCAAATGGCAGTAATTTCAAATTACCTGAAAAGCTTCTTTCTTCTTGAAATGTGTCCTTTTCAAGACATAAAGGAATTGTGGGAGTGTACTACAAAACTGACAACACCTGACAGCATCAAATTATAAACTAGATGGGTTCCATTTGTATTTTAATCTGCTTGGTCTAAAGTTACTGCTTTAAGAAATCACAAGAAAGGATGGAAATGGGAAATGAAAAAAGACTGAAGCGCTGTTAAGTCTCAGTGTACAAGTGCCCTGATATCAAAGGTTGCTGCACTTGAGGATGGCTGAATGTGAGGCAGTTCCTCTGCAGAAATCTCCAAGCAGCACTGCCTCCTGGCAGCCCTTGTTACCCTGCATCTACACTGCTGCTTTGGTTCACCTCAGAACTGTGTGTTTACAGTGAATCTGTCAATGGCCCCACTTACACTACTTTGATTCATATCACAGAGCTGGTGTAGATGAGAAGAAATGAACTGCCAGCTGAAACCAAATGCAATTTGTTTTAATTACTTGTAGGCACACAGTACACAGGAGTCAATCTGAACCAAGCTGATGGAATACATGTACTCTGTATTCCCTTAGCCATTTCAGTGCACAGATCTGCTCAAGTGCCCAAGCTGCAAATACCCACTCTATTAATTTCAGTTCAGTGCTGAGACCATAGTTTTTTTAGCTACAATTAGCTTGTGGCACACTAGTTAATAACTGATAGGTATAATTTTCTGTAATTCTCAACCCAACAAGAGGCAAGTAGAAGATCAGGCTAACAGCATGAAAACCTACCCTCAGTAGGCCCAATAAGAGCCTCAGCTTTATCCAGAAAGAATAATCCAGTCTCATCTACTTTGAATTATCATTAAGTAGTTGGCACCTCTTCTTTATATTGACAAATTATGTTCTAACCCAGGAAAATCAACTTTGCTGTAGTTAGTAATTCACTACTTGCTACAAAGCAGTGTGATATCATGTTAATATCATGCAAAAGTAGAAATAGGCTACTACTGCTGGACATTGAAAGGCTGCAGTTTTTCAAAGCCATTAAAAAAACCATTCATGTTTGATAAAAAGAGAGCAGCCTTATCTGTTTTACTCCTTTGGCTGAGTAAGCTCACTAGTATAATTTCAGGCAGGATTAACCTTTGCTGTAACTATTGTCTGAGCTCCATGCGAACTTGGAACGCACATGGTTCCTGAATCACGCAGTGCATGTTGGAATCACAGCTGTGTTTGGGCATTGCTGCTGGTAAGCTGTAACTATTGTCTGAACTCCATGTGAACTTGGAACGCACATGGTTCCAACATGAATCACGCAGTGCATGTTGGAATCACAGCTGTGTTTGGGCATTGCTGCTGGTAATTGCTGTCGCTCATAATCAACTCCCAAGGCATGTTTTTAAGAGTGGTCTATATGAACAACAGGCCACAACCATTCTTAAACATTTTTACTAAAAATGTACTTCTGAGTATGTATGTGACGTGAGAAAGGTTGTCATGACGTTTTGTAAGTTAAAAAACCTTAAAATGAACAGAAAAATTATTTGTTGGACAACACTGAAGGACTTCTCAAAACAAAAAATGCTTTTCAATATAGCATTTCCAGCCTTCTAAAAAGAAGTACTTAATACAGCTGCAGTTTTAGTGGCATAAAAACATTCCTCTTATCTTAAACTTAGTCAACACTGTACGGAGTTGACAACGTTAACCTAACATTGTCATTGGATAGTATAAGCCTACTATGGATGGGTGTGAAATAAAATCATAAACTAGTAATATTGATATTTTTATCAAAAGTATTAAATATATTTCAAAACTACTCATTTATTCACAAAGGTACCAGATCAAAATACCAGTTAGTGAACAAACCTGACATCACAGAATTCTTTTCCATGGATTTTTCCAACAGACTGTTCTCACTGCTGAAACTATCATCCACATTTTCTTCCTGTTTCAAATTCTCCTCTATGATGTATCCTGGTTGGCTTGTAACTTCTGTTTCTTCGTTCGTAGTCTGCTCCATCCCATTTTGTTTATTCTCTGTTCCCAGAAAATATAGAGAAATTCTAAGGCAGTTCTATAAAACATTTCATTTCTTTTAATGCAGAGCACAGAAAACACAGAACTAACCTGTATTTATCAGGCACATAACAGTATAACATATGGTCTTGGTCTTGACTCAAATGTTACAGTTAGGAATTTTGACCTTTATATAAATATTTACATAAAAATTTACTAATTTACAATTAGAAACTAAACTTAAAGAGGTTAATAGATATATTTTTATGAAGTTCTCAATTTCTGTGCGTAGGTGTTTGCTAATAGCAACATATTTTACTGCAATAAATCACAGGGGGTCAAGCTGCAATGACAAAACGTAGCATCAGTGTTCCTCATCCACAGTGCCCAATGAAGCTGTTTCCTCTCTATGACCTTGTATCAGGGCATGCTCCTGCAACCACACTTTACACATCTATACACATCCAGGACTGTGTACATGGAAAATTACTTATCCTCTGGTAAGAGCAACACCATTCATGCTTTACACATTAGTCTGTACAGTTTGTTTTGAGGCCTACATTGCCCAAGATTACAAAGAAATTGTGGAATAAATACATTAATTCAGTAGTCCATCAAACCACTGAATTAAACTTCAGTTTTACCCTATACAGTCTGCACTATACCGAAAATTCAGAAATGAAAATGTGAAAAGAATTGAAAACAAAAATATGAAAACAATATTAATAATTTGTATATTTGTTACTTTGTTTACCTTACTGATGACAAAGTAGTGAAGACAAGAATTTATGCCTCACACAGCTGCAACACAGAATGAAAATTAGGATCACAAGAGCTGCTAAGCTATTCCCACTCAGAATGATCTTCTGAGGCTCTGACTTGGTTGGTCTTGTCCTGGAGACTGCAACACTCAACCACCTTTGAACTGCATCCTCAAATATCACAGCTGCCTGCGTGTGTCTGGCAGAACACCATCTGACTCCTGTCCAAAGCTGGAAGAGACACCTTCATGTCCCTCTCACCTCAGTCTTTATGCTCTGACCCATACGCAGCAACTAAAAGCACAGAGACAGCTCTGGTGAGCTCCTCAAGTGAGCAGGCTGAAGCTGCTAAATGGGAAATCTGTTAAAGTAATTTAGTCTCTAAAATTTTATAAAACATATGGGGACTAAAAATAAAGGATGAATTATTTGGGGGCTGCTTTCTTTTTTTATATTTAAGCATACAGAGGAGCACTGGAATAACTTTACGCTATTGTAAACACTATACAGTAATGAAAAGGAGTAGCCACTTTAGTAGTTTATTGCATTAGTTTTGTAAATTTTATAATGTTTTGAGACTTATGAATGTCTTAAAGTATACAAAGTACTTTAAAATGCCAAAAATATTTGTAAATTGTTCTGTAAAGGAAACACTTGAATTGAAGAAGAAATTCAGGTAAAGTCTGTTTTGTTTGTTCAAATTAATTTTCAGAGTATGTTTTATGAATGATTATAAAAATCACACTGAAAACCAATGGGATTTAAAAGTAAAATTCAGTTTCATTGTAACTAAATCCATACTGTTGTAATTCTCATATTGCTTAATAAGGATTTTCAGTATTTAGATATCTATCAATTAAGCTGTTACATAATTTGATTTTGAAATCCCTGGACAAACAAAAGCATTAGTCCCAGTGTCACAATAAAACAATATGGTGGGAATCCTGCATTGCTTCTTAAGTAACAGTACAAAAAAAAAAAAAAAAGAAAAAAAAGAAAAAAGAGAAGAGATATTAAAACCCTACACATCGGTACCAATGAAATAAGATGATTACCTCCTGTATTTCCACTTAAATCATCTGCAAGGTCTTCATGTTGGGTTTCACGGAGAGCAAACAAAAAAGAAGAGAACCAATCTTTCTTCTGGACTATTCTGCTCAGTAGCTCCCTTGCACCATCTCTGTTCCCATGATTGTCAGTAACAGCCTGGATCTGGCAAAAATAAAAAACCAAAAACAACCTTCACACAGACTTTGGAAACGGTCTGAGGAAGTTCATAGAATAGTATAGGTGCAAAAGCATTTCCCTGTCGTCATTAAAGCATACTGAAAAATAAAGATATAAAGTAAACCTGCTACTCATCAGAAGAGAATTATTGTCCAACCTCATGTTCATCCCACATGGTTTTGGGTAGGATATATAAAACCTATGATATCTGGAATTTAATTGGAGAGACTGGTAGTACTAGACAATGGTTACAACAGTAACTGCTATATAATAATTATTAGTATTGTGGAATAACAAATGGTGTTCAGACTAGTTTAGGGAATAGGCAACCTTGATTAAGGAGAAATGGTGTCACACAGTTTACCAAAGCTCAGAGTTAACCTGTAACATGACCTCATACATAACATAGAACATTTCCCTTCTTAAACTTGGACTTCATCATCTCAACTCCCCCTTAAAAATGCAATAGCCGAGCCTTTAGAAAGTGGCTATTGCCCTCAAAGGAGTTATGGAACAGTGTCCCAAGGCTGTCACAAGCAGAATTTGACGTGGTCACATGAGGAACGAAACCACAACCCCAAGAGCAAAGCAGCTTGAGACAGGTGTTCAGTCTCAAGGCCATTTTCTCAAGGCTCAAGAATCACCCATTCTGATATACAAGGAAATGGGCAGGCATAGCAGTGGGAACTGACTGAGACACATGACTTTTAAAAGGAAGTGTGTGGAAAGTGGGAGGCATTACGAAAGCCTAAACTCCACTGGAGTTTAAACTGGCAGGGTTTGACACAGTTTGGTGGAAATACCAGCAGCAAAAAGGTGACCCAGGGGAACATGAGGACCTATTACCAAGGAATGGAGCCAGTAGCTTCCTAAGAGGTCTCTGCATCTGCCTGCTGTGTTACCATGCTTGGCTCCCTACTAATAAGGGTGCATCTGATCATTGCCGCCACCTGATGGTCACAAGACAAAATTATGTATCTTACAGTCATTTAACTGAGAGGCAGCATAAAACTACCTCACAAGTGAATGCAAAGGCTCGGAGTGCAAATGTGACTTAGTTCTACCCTTAGTTTACCAGTTTTCCCCTTATTGCTATGGCAATTACTATTTTAATTTGTTCTAACACTGTTTCAGGATATCAGGTTTTTTTGAGTTTCAAGTAGGTTTCACATTCCAGGCAAGTCATTCTTAGCCAAGTGGAATAAACACTGGCCAATATTCTCATCAAACGTTAACACTTCCTTGCTCTTGTCCAACTGGTATTTCTGCTCACGTCACTGTCTAGTGTGATAGTCCTTAGTGAACCTATAGCAAAAAAGGGGACAGAAAATCCTGCTTTATTTTAACTCAGTATCATTTAGGACTTTACAGACCATCACTACTTCCTGGTATGGTTCAAGGGACAAAAGACAATGATCTTCTGAGCCTAAGGTCTGTGGCAAAATGATAAGTAAAGTCTGACATATTTCTTCACTTAGACACTGTCTTGGTCCAACCCCCTGTTCCTTTTTTCTTCTTTGCCAGGCTCTCAGATGGCATCCCAACTGCTGGCTCATTGTCAACAGTCTTCATCAGCTTACCTAGACCCACTATCTATTTCCCCCCAAGTCTGGGAACTCCCCTTTCATTTCTGCGTTTACTATGCCATTTGTACTTGTGGCTTCCTACCTGCCCCACAGGCCCTGGAGCTGGCCAGTGTCTGTGGCACTGCCCGCGCCCGGACTCACCCGATCCACGTCCTCGTCCTGGAAGATTCCCATCTGCAGGCACTTCTCGGCCACCTGCACGGTGCGCATCCTGTCCACCAGCGTGCCGTGCAGCAGCTGCACCAGGTGCACGCAGAGGTCGTGCTCGGCCTCCTCTGCCGGCGAGGGCAGCTGGCTCAGGCTGGGGTTGGCGTAGCAGGCGGCCAGGCTGCAGCCGCCGTGCTCCAGCGCCTGCAGGAACTCGCGGATCCAGCCGCGGTCGCAGGGCCCCCGCTCCACGGCCCGCAGCAGCTCCTCCGCGCCCGCGGCCGCGCCCCGCTGCTGGGCGGCCGCGCGAACCCTGTCCTTGTCCTCCGGGCTCAGCGAGGGGAGCCGGTCCAGCACGGGCTGCACCTGGATGAACTGCTTCAGCCGCGGCCTGAAGCAGGAGATCGTGTAGAGGAACCGCTCGTCCCGGGTGTCCTGTGCCATGGCGGCGCCCGGCGCTCCCGCGGGCCGCTGGTGGGGGCTGCGCCCGGGCCCGGCGACCAGCCAGGCCGCGGCCCCTCAGCGAGCCCTCCGCTGTCCCGGCCGGTCCGCTCCGGCCCGCCCTGCCCGGCACAGGCGCCGCTTTCGGTTTGGCTCGGCAGGGCGGTGCGTGAGGGCTCGGCTCGCCCGGACGGGGCTCGCGGGGCACGGCGGCAGCTCCGCGCCTGGCAGCGCTCAGTGCCACTCCTCAGTGTTGAAAGCGAAACCTTTGACAGTAACGAAACCTTTAGCAGTAACCCCGAGTTGAAAAACCCGATGGTAAACGGAAACATGTCTTTCACTTTCCAGCTCATGAGAGCTCACTTCCCGGGCTGCTCACAGCGTTTCTGAGCTTTTCTGCACGCAGTGGCAGCAGTGAGGCGCTTGGTTGCTGTCTGAGGCTGCTGGAAGGTCTCCCCTGAGATGAGATTTCACCCATACCGTACATGTCACTGAGCTTCAGAAGCAGTCTTGGTTTCCATCGTGGGGGGTTGGGGAACCTCCGTGTGATTCTGAGGTAATCACAATGATAAACAGAGAGTGTCTGGATTACCGTGTTCAGTTTTGGTCGGGGACTGTTCAAGACACTGAAAATTTGTAGAGTCCAGAGGCAAACAGCATTGGAGAGCCCGTCACATGTTTGGAAGAACTATGTTTATAAAGCCTGGAGAAAATAAGGGTCAGAGAAGATCCAACCACTGTGATACCTGGGTGTTAGAGAAATAACTTGTTGGTAAAATTGCCTTGCTAAAGTCTAGGGCTTAGGCATGTTTCAATGATCTCAGACCTAGAGGGAGGTTAACAAAGTTTGGGAATAAGGATGTATCGCTGATAGCAGACCCAAAGAACACAAATTATGGGCCTCAAATACACTTGGCAGAACTCCCAAGGTAAAGAAAAAACTAATGAAGACAGCTCAGCAATTGTGCTGAGATCAGCTGTGACTGGGTAGAAGATAATTCTGGCATGAGGAGATTGTGACCACTGATTTACAGACCACCAATCCAGGAAACCACTGACTCGGAAGAAGAGAAAGACTGGGTATGTGGACGAATCAGCATAAGAAGCGAGGGAATCGTCTAACCAATAGAAGAAAGAATACTAATTAATATGAAAAACTTTGTAACTTGTGGCCAATGAGCGTTAATGCCTTTGTCTGCTAAAATGTAAAAAAATGTTGACAGTCGTGGTGCTGACTTTGTGAATTTGCCGCCAAGCACCTCTTTCTGTGCAAGGCAGAACTGTAAATAAATCAAATACCTTGATTGTCTGTGTAGCTCAGCCTCTTGCAAACTAGGTGAAAGAACCTGTCTTGGGACACCAACAGTTCTTCAGCTCCTAAAATTTGGATGATTCTTCACTGGGGTACACAGGACAAAGGGGAATTGGAATATGTTTCTTTAGAGGAGATTATCTCCAGATGTAAGAAGAAAATATTATCCACTCTAGAAACAATTAGACTTTGGAATATATTGCTCAGAGAAATAGCAGAAATTTCCTCAATAGAAATATTCAATGCTTTGCTTGACAGTGTCCTTGATTTAATGTCTTGCTTTTAAAAGAAAGCCAGCTATCTCCAGAGGTCCTTTCCCAGCCTAAAGTATTCTGTAGTTCAAATTGTACCCTCAGCTGCTTGTCACATTGAGATGTGCTGCAGTAGTCTGCTCTCAGAGGAGCTTCCTTCAGCTGGAGGCTTCTTTTGTAGAATAGCTTAATTTAGTTTTACTTTCATTTCATTGTTCTTTTTCCTTATCTCCGGTTTCACTGTTACTTCATCATTACTTTTTCATTTCTACTTTATGCAAGTTTCCCTTGAAAGATTTCTGTAAAAACCATAATTTTTTCCCCCCTAATACTTTTTCTTCTGCCTCCAGCACCTTTGCTAGAAGACGCATGAGCCTTCCTTGCTCAGTCTCGGGAGCCTGCAGGACTCAGTGTGTGCAGATGGATTGTTTGTGTGTTTGCTTTGTTGTGTACGCTGTGGCAGTAAATCAGGCTGTATATTAATTCCAAAACAACCCTTTACTGGCTCTAAGAGTTTGCAGACATTAAAAGGACATTTTAAACTTCCAGAGATAAAGAATGCTACTTGTTTATTCCAGCTAGTGTGAGGTTGCACAGATGATGGCTGAGCTCCTGCTCTGACCGCGAATAATGGAAATATTTGCTAAACGACTATTGCTCTCCTGGACGTTTACATTGATTTCTGAGACCTTTGTCCCGTTCAGATGTAGCTGAAATTGGTGTCAGGGTTCATAGCAGTCGCTCTGACAGTGCAGGGGAGGAGCACTCGGCTTTCCCCTCGGCTATCGCAAAGGCTGAGCAGCGCCAACGCCCGGCCCCGCTACAGACCCGACGCTGCCCTTCCCTGCTCGGCTGGAGCGCAGGGGGGAAGCCGGGACGTGGCCCAGCCGCCACGGCTGCAGCACTGCACAGCACATCAGTGCACAGCACTGCACTGCACATCAGCGCGCAGCACTGCACTGCACATCACCGCACAGCACTGCACTGCACATCAGCACACAGCACAGCACTGCACAGCACATCAGTGCACAGCACTGCACTGCACATCAGCGCGCAGCACTGCACTGCACAGCACCGCACAGCACAGCACATCAGAACACTGCACTGCACAGCACTGCACTGCACATCAGCACACAGCACTGCACTGCACTGTGCAGCACCGCACATCAGAATACAGCACTGCACTGCACAGCACCACACAGCACTGCACAGCACTGCACTGCACTGCACATCAGCGTACAGCACTGCACACCAGTGCACATCATTGCACTGCACTGCATGGCCCAGCACAGCTCTGCACAGCACATCACCGCACTGCACCGTGCAGTGTACATTCTCACACAGTGCTCACACTGTGTGAATATTTACAAAGAATATTTAACAGAGAGGATGGGAAGATTAGGGGTGCTGATCTGCAGGTGTGGTATTAAGTACACCAGTCATGGGAGGAATCATTCCTTCTGTTGTGCTGGTATTGCAGTCTCCTACAATTCTATTTGTCTTCAGCATTTTAGAGCTCAGGAGCTCCAATAAGAAGACTTACAATTTATCAGTGGGCAAGACTCCAATTGCTTCACCTCAGCAGGCAGCCAGAGGCTAGCAGTGCATTTCAGCTTTTTGTATGTTACTTATGATGCTGGTGAATGAGACAGGAACTTTGATGAGTGCTCACCAGAGAGATGAAATTGCTAGGGCACAGTTTACAGCAGGAAAAGGGAAGAAGAAGGAAGGCCCATCTGCAGAGAGCCAGCAGTGAGGTGGGAGACCAGAAAATGCATTTGCAAAGCGAACAGCAAGAGAACATGGAAAGAGACATGCAGTTGGGTGTATGCTTCCAGGAAACAGCAGTTGGGTCAAGACACATGACTGCTGTGTATTACAGTAAATCTGTGCCTGTAGATAAATGTGCACATCCAAATAATTCAGGTTGCTGCACAGCTTAACTATCAAAAAGCATCACAACCTGTCCTTTGCTTTAAATGTTGAGCTACACCTGTAACTGGTAGGAGCCAATTAACTTCATCAAGAGCTGTGCTGATCTGTACAGTCTCACCTCTCACATTTGAAGTGATTGTCCACATTGCTTTTGTAGCTTCAGCTACTTTAGCTATTCCTGAATGTCCAGGAGACTTCTCTATATTTACACCTTATAATTGATAGGTATTTTTAGCCACAGGTTTTTAATATACATAGCCAAGTGTTCCTAAGTTCAAGCAAACCCAAAACTTGCTCCTAAAGTTCTGAAAGCTTCTATGGATATGTTATAACTGTGTTGGGTATACAACCCTTAGTTTTATTTGGATAACACAGACCCATTTCTATAAAGTGAAAACAAGACTGGACTTATAGGGAGGCCCACCCCTTCAAACCCCCCCCCCCCCCAAAAAAAAAAAACACCCAGCAAAATCACCTGCAAATAAAAGGGGCAATTTTTGCTGTTTAGAAATTTAATAAATTTCCATACTCAATGGTTTTTACCTGTTTCTGGAAGAAAAAAATGTTGAAGCAGTGGGTTTTCATTGAACCTCAACAAGAAAAGAAGTTATCTGAGAAGCCAGATCTTTCTGTGGCAAGGAAGGGGCAGCTAGAGTGTTGCAACCTTTTCTGCATTCCTTGGCAGGGAGCTTAGAATCTCCATAACTTTAAGTCTTCCTTATTTGCACCCATTTGAGATTTTTTTTCCCTTGGTACAAGGACAAAGGAAAGAGCAACATTTCTTTGAGCCAAAAAAATGGAGTAAGTGTAGCTTTTCCTTCACCTTGATTGACTGCAGTAGTTGTCACTCTTCCTCTTCTCTCCTCAATGCTCCTTCCTCAGGCCACCTGTTTTGCTCAATCTCTTTACAGTAATGAGAAATACCAAGTGACAAAATTGGACAAAAGGCCTTTTGTAAAGCAATGCTCATGCATTATACTTTTCCCATGAATTTTATTTTTATTTTATACCAGTCTTTTTAGAATGCAGCATAACAAATGCCTTTTTAGAAAATGTGCTAACTTGTTTCTTGTAACAGACACGAGTTTTACCAGGCTGAGATAGAGCAGAAATCCTCAACACTTGCTATTTAAGAAAACCCAAACAAAACCTCACAGAAGGCATTTGTTATCCAACACTCCTGTTTCAATTGAAGTATATGCAGGCAGAGATTCTGAGTGGTCCCTAGTGGGAGGAAAGATGTGTGCTAATGTCTTTACAAACAATTCCATGGATGAGGGTATGGGTGTTAAAATATTGAAATAAGTCTTAATGTCTTTACTAATGTCAAGCAGCAAGTTTGTTGCGGAACCCACACAGCGTTGCTCCTGAAACAGGCAAGGGTCTGCACGAGCCTGAACTTCTTAACTTTGGGGTAAAATGACAGGTTCAGGGGGGATATGTGGTAGGTGGTTTGGGAAGGCGGTACCTTCCTAGCACCTCAGCTAACGGGAAAGGAAAAAGGCCACGTGCGGCCGGGAGTTCAGGATAAAAGGAGGCTGCACCCTCTGAAACAGAGAGAAAACCCCACGGGCATGTGCCCCAGGGGACGCTCCCCCCCTTTATTCGAATAAAGTTGCAGGAGTTCTCTGTCTTCTTTTTGGACATAAACCTCTGGAGTTTGTGGATTAATTTTCCTGATACTAGGATCTGATCCTGCAAGGCACTGAGCAGTTCAGCCTCCCTGTCATCATGGTAGAAGAACAGTCAGCCTGTTGTACCATTTGGC